TTGCTAAAGAGAAAATTGACACGGTTAGTGCCCCAAATGTGAGGCTTAAACTTATAGGAAGACTCCACTGCACATTCTCGATTTGCAATCCCAATTAGTTTAAATGAAGACTCCACTTGTAATATCAAACATGGGAGTCCTCTTGCTAGACTTATTGTACGGTGCAAACTCATTATTTGGGATGAAGCTCCAGTGTTGCACAAATTCTGTTTTGAGGCATTAGACCCCAATATGAGGGACATAATGCAATTTCACAAACAAAATAGCGGGCTCTGCCGTATGGGGGAAAAACTGTGGTGTTCGGGATGACTTTCGCCGGGTGCTGTCAGTGATACCTAATGGGAGCAGACAAGATGTTGTCAATGCGATCATCAATTCGTCATATTTGTGGTTCGAATGCACCGTTCTTTGGTTGACCAAAAACATGCGTCTGCAGAATTTGATGAATGAAACAGAATCTTATGATTTAAAGATTTTTTTCTAAGTGGATTGCCGGTATTGGTGACGGTGTTTTGGGGGAAATGAATGATGGCTCTGTCTCAAATTCTTGAGGATCTATTGATTCACACCAATGTTGATCCCGTAGTTGCTATTGTGGAAAGCATTTTCCCGGAGTATGTTACATCTCGCATGACATTAGTTGTTTGCGTGATCGTGTCAAATTAGCCCCGACGTTGGTCGTGGTTGAATCTGTTAATGATTATATGATGGGTCTCAACGTCAGCGAGGTTTCCAAGATGTATCTTAGTTCTGACAGCGTGTCAAAGGTAGATTCTACTACAAATCTAATGGCAGAACTGCACACTCCGGAATTCCTAATTAGCATTAATTATCTGGTGTACCGAATCACAAGTTAACGTTAAAGGCTGGGACCCCAGTAATGCTTCTGAGAAATATATACCATTCAATGGGGTTGTGTAACGGAACTCGGCTCATTCTAACGATGCTCTGTGATCATGTTTTGGAGGGGAAGATTTTGACTGGTGTGAGTGCTGGACATATAGTGTTGATTCCTAGATTTTCCTTGACCCCCTCAGATGCCAACTCTCCTTTCAAATTAGACAGGGATAATATCCAATTGTGATTTCATATGATATGACTATAATTAAAAGTCAAGGGAAATCGTTGCCCCGCGTGGGGTTGTTGTTAAAGAAACCTATGTTTACTCATGGACAAATCTATGTTGCGGTGTCAAGAGTGACCAGTAGGCGTGGTTTGAGAATACTTATATGAAATGAGAGTGGTATAGCATCTAAAGCGCTCAAAATGTTGTTTATAAAGAAGTATTCAATAACGTCTAGCGTTGCATTGAATTCTGTTTTTAACGCTAGTTGGTTTGAGAATACTTATATGCAATGAGAGTGGTATAACATCTAAAGCGCTCAAAATGTTGTTTATAAAGAAGTATTCAATAACGTCTAGCGTTGCATTGAATTCTGTTTTTAACGCTAATTGGGAGGTGTTGCATTGCATTCAATAACTTGAGTGGGAAGGCGTTGCATTGGATGTGGTGGTTGAATCGAGTCCGCAAACCATATATAGAACACCTAGAGGTCACAATAATAAAAGGGAAGTCGTTGGAAGCAAAATAAGGAACACGTGAGGAGGAACAAATCAATAATGCATCGTCAAACTAATGAAGACAAATAGTCAAATACAAGGAAGCTGGAAGAAAAACAACTAGTTAGAAAGATTTATCATCGGCCACTCACCTTTGAGCAATAGGTGATGACATATAAAAGAGATCATTTAGAGGACCTTTTTGAAGGGCCTAAACAATTAAGAGGCACATAAAATCATTTTACAAGTTCACTGTGTGATGTTTTTGTCACATTCAGAAGCTTACATACCATCTAGGAGTAGTAAAGACATAACACAATACTAGAGAGAGAAACACTGCAACTACAATCTATATTGTTCACTTTTTCACTTGACCTAGTCGGCGAGAGATGAAAACAAGGATACATATAAGTGCTTATAATCTTCCATCTGAGATTTATGGAAAAGATAACATGTTGAATAACTTACTAACTTTACATGAACAACATAAAAAGTGAGCAGTTGAACGCTACTCTTGGGTTGAGAGTGTTCCTTTGGTCTTAGTATAGTTGTTTGGGACATGAACTTTATTATTGGTTTGGGAAAATTTATTTATTTGGGCTGAATTCATTTTTGGGGTCTTTAACTTTGATGTGGGGTTGAGTTTGATTATGGATTGGTAGACGGGATTTTACAAGTCAATTGTTCGATGTTGACAAGGGTGTTGAGTAGATCGTTGACCGGGCGCTGACTAAGTTGAGACCACATCATAATCATGTAAATAAATTTTAGACATGATCGGAGGTGAGGACCCATAACCCTTATACTCTTATATTTGGTTGATTTTGCATGAGATTATTTAGTGAGTATGATGTCAGGCCTAGGGTTTGGTTCGGTGATGTCAGCGTATGTAGATGTGATGTAAACCTTGGATGTGCGAGTCTAGGATTCCCGTAAAGTAGCTAAGTGTGGAAATTGGATTGAGTCGTCGAGCTAAGGCAGATCAGAGGGACTGAGAGTAGAGATGATCTTGTTTGGCCTCACCGGTGTAGCTTGCCCCAATGTAGAATTGGCTCATTGATGGAATAATGAGTCCTGATTATGGATACTGGCTTCGACAGAGGGTCTTGACTCAGTAGTAGGGACTTGGGCTCCCGATTTGGGCCGCCTCCTTAATTTGCCCACCAGGATATGTGGCAAAATATTCCATCACATAGGTTTAGAGATAAAGTAGTTTCTAAGGTGTCTCCACTACTATAAATGCTCTTTTAGGATTAGGGTTACATTGATTCCACAAAATCGTTTATACAGTGAAAAGACATTCTTTCGTTTCTCCACAATTTATTCTTACTTCTATTTATGCCCAATAACCCATCACCACCTTGTTACATGTATCATTATTTATTCTACCATATGTAAGATTTTGCACGAGAAATTGTGCCCAACTACCCATGAGTATTCATAATTGTGCCTTTTTTAATCATGTAATACTTGATAAACTTGTTAACATTGAGGACTTTCACATAGAGTGTGTTGTCGTGGTTGAAAATCTCATACATTCGAAAACTTTTTTGATGAGATTTTGCTGTAGTAGTACATTTCGGTGAAAATTTCTATATTTCGGTAATCAATAAAACTAGTAATCACATGTCAAGGTATGTGAGTACATAAAACTTCAAGGGCACATCATAAATAATGAGACAGACACCAATCTTCGTTTAATCTATCAATACAAATTCCCATATAATTTGGTCATGCGGTCTTCACTTGTGCGTAAAATAATAAAGAAATAATTGTGTGATTGAGATTTTGTATAGACCAAAGTGAAAGGACATTAACCAACAAAATGTTACTCTAAAAAGATGGTAAAGTTGTTTAGGACGGCTAAATATAGAAAATTGACGAATTTAAGTGGGTCCGGGTGAAGTTATACTTATAATAATGCTTGATGTACACAAAGTTGTACACACTTATTCACGAAATTCAAAACTCTCCACAAATACATTTTTTCTTTGTTAAGTTAAGCAGCAAATAAAAAAACGGTGGAAGAGAACTTGATTTCACATACAAGCAATGACCGTCATATATAAGAATGTACTTGTACAGATAAAAAAAGATAAAAATGATTGCCACAAACAATAAAAATATTTGCTACAAACTGGTTTCCGTAATACATAGACATCTATGTATATTTTCTTAAATTATATGAAAAAAATACACAAGCTTGTCTGTGATGAGCAAATTATTCTTTTTACACAAACAATAGTCGCACTAGAATAATTTAGAGGTTCTTAGATGAATTACTTCACATAAACATTTTGCTTCCCTTTCTGTAGTGTTATGTATTTTACTTCTCAGTATTGGTTTTTTATTTTCGCTTTGTATCATTACCTTGTATTAATAGGATCTTCCCTTAACAAAAAAAAAAAGAGACATTTTTTGTCAATGACACAATTTGACAAACAATGTTTGTACATGAATTGATTCGACTCACAAAAATATAGTCTAGTGTATTCAAATGCCATTAAAGGATTTATTTACTAGAACTCCTTTGCGATATAAAATTTCCGTGCATTAAAAGCTCTTTATATATCAAAATGTATCAAATCTTTGTGATTATAATGCACCATCTTCTCTATACAATTTTCAACCACATACTTTTTACATTTCTTATTTACACCTAAATACTCTCTGTCCCATAAAATAGTTCTCAATTTTGTTTTAGAACCGTCTCAAAAAACAGTTCTCATTTTTCTTTTTAGAAAATTTTGTATGACTACCATTCATTTAGCTTTTTCTTACTTAACTACAACCATACATTTTCACATTAACCTAACTCGGGATCGTTTTTAGGGGGTTTAATATGTTATCCAGAACGAGGCTCTCCCGATTTATGGGCCCCATAATTTTTAAAATTTATTAGTATTATATAATAATATTATACTACGTATATTGATACCAATCAGTAAAATACAGTTACTAGGGAAGAAATGTATAAATCCGTCATTTTTTCGTTGGTCACTTTAGTTTTCTTTTACTTTAATTGCTTGAATAATGAGTTGGGTTGCCTACTTGCCTTAAATCAAGTATTAAATAAGTTTTAGAATTTTTTTATTACATTATTTAATGATTATTCAATTGATTTAAGTATATGTATTTGAATTAAGATTTTTTTAATTTTTTATATTAATATGAGGCCTCCGTTTTACATTTGGAATCAGGGCCGCCATATTCATTAGACATTTAAATTCTAACTTTCTTAAATTTAGATAAATTTGAAGATTTCAGATAAATTGATGGCGTGTTCCTAATTGGTATGTTACGGGTTAGCCATTAAACCGGTCTTTTTTCTATCTAATACGTATACACCCACCCTTTGAAGTCGGACACGGCACCAGATTTTCCGTCCGTGGTGGTGTGGGTTCCCTTAGACCGGTAATGTACGAAATAAATGAAAATACTGAAAAATAACGTGAAGATAAGATGGAAATTTGGTGCATAGAAAATAGGAGTAAAAAGGATGACAAAATACAGTCATCCCGTCCGTACAAAGAAGGCGATCGCCCAAGCATCGTCGACCAAGGACTTCCAAATCGCCGATGACCCACAGATCACTTTCTGTGCTGTCCACGTGTTCCCCTTCCATTTGTTCAGCCTTCAATGAACTTTAAACCCAAACGTGTTCTTTGCGTTTCTCTTTCCTCTCACTACTTCAAAGTCCAAACCCATCTCTGCACTGCCCTCTCCGGCGAATATATCCCTCTACCCGACGCCGTTTACCCGTAAAGAATCTTTTTTCACATGTATCGACCTGTGTAAAAGAAGAAATATATCAAGACTGAAAGAGAGACGCTGAAATTCACAATCTTTTATACCCATTCTTCCACCTAAAGGCGCCCTTCTCTACCAGGCACGAAAAAGTTTGTAAAGTGTAAAGTTGTGGTCTTGAAGGCTACTGGGTTAGGTCTTAACTTTCTTTACCCCTATATAATTCATATATATGCATGGCAATTGTGTGTCTGGTGTATATGTACAGTAGATTTTGTGCCCGCAAGTCCGGGTCTCTTTAATTTCGCCTCCCTTATCTATTCGCATCTCGCTTCTTTAAAGACTCTTGCTTTTTCCCATCTGCACGGCTTCCATGGCTTTGGGTTCCCGTTGAAGCTCCAAATTCATTCAAAGCAAGAAAAAGGTGATCTCGGATAGGTGTATATAGTTGCTTAACATTGTTCGGACAGTCTGGGGGTTTCATCTGAGATTTGGATGGTGATTTGGGGTATGGGTCTTCAATTTTTTATTGTATTATAAATCTAACTGGTGAGCTGAGAAGGTAGTTGGAAAGCGTGGGGTTTGATCAGTAATCCAAATTTGAGAGAGTTGGGGTTTGAATATGAGGCCCTCAGGTATAATCTGATTAGGTTTTTGTACTATGAGCTGTGAGAGTGAGACGAACAGAGGAGGAGGAGGAGGAGGATATGAAGGAGAATATGAGAAAACCAAAGAGGAAGACGAACATGACCAAACTTTTGGCGGTCGAGATTCTGTTGTTGAGTTTTCATTGAATGGATCAATTGTAGCCTCACAGCAACATTCTATTGATGAAAGAGTACTGGTTGATCCCAAACTTATTTATATTGGATCCAAAATTGGTGAAGGAGCTCATGGAAAAGTTTACCAAGGAAGGTGGGTGTATTCTACTATCACTACCATTTCTTCATGCTTTAGTTATAGTGTTATGCTGGTAGTCAATGCTTATCTCTGAGAAAAATATCGCATATTATATTTTTTCTGTATATTCGTCACTGGAAAGTACTATTTCATTGGTTTTCTTGAGATGTTATATATTGATGTTATTTGGTTAGAGAAGCTTTGCTGTCTGATATTCCTTAAATACTTTCTCCTTTTTATTTTTCTGGTTTTGTGTATCAAATAGTTATCATATTCAAATCCATTTTGTGCTCTTCAATAGAACATCAAGTGTAGTTTCTAAATTTATACATTTAAATTTAATACTAATTTGAATATTATTAGGGTAAAGTTCAATATTCTGCTAGTTTCTGTTAAACTTGCAAACCAAAATGGGAGGAGTTGGTATTACCTAATCTCTAACTATGTTTCCAACATGTATTTGTTCTTAGGTATGGAGATCAGATTGTTGCTATTAAAGTTCTCAAACGTGGGGACACCACCCAAGAAAGAGCTTCACTGGAAAGTAGATTTGTGAGGGAAGTAACAATGATGTCAAAGGTAAAACACGAGAACCTTGTGAAGGTGAGTTATCTTCTTTTTCTATGTTCTTTCTATCTTGACATGTTTATGATAATTATTTACAATCTTTGACCTTAGTTATTACCACTAACGGAAAATCTCCAACTCATTGTCATTCTGCATCAACAAAACTAACTAATATATTTTGTTCAAATAAGAGCAACTCCTTTAAATTCTGGAAATTATAATCTTTATAATAGTTGCAACACATAAATTTATATTATCAATTATATAAAAAGTGGCTCAAATGGATAATCCTTAACTCTGATATCACTAAATCTACGATTAGATTGATTATTTTAGTAATTAGTCTGTTGTTTGATTTGAAATGAATAAATATTGATATATATGCAGTTTTTATGCCCTCAAGTTTTTTTTGTGTATACTTTTATTTCTTTGTAGTTTATTGGAGCTTGTAAGGATCCTTTGATGGTAATTGTGTCTGAGCTGCTACCAGGAATGTCCCTTCGGAAGTATTTAGTGAGCCTTCGCCCAGCAAAGCTGGACCTTCTACTTGCACTAAATTTTGCTCTTGATATTGCGAGGGCCATGGAGTGTCTACATGCTAATGGAATTATACATAGAGATCTAAAACCTGGTACTAAGCGGCTTGTGAAGCTGTACTAATTCTTTTACAGAATCTTGTAGTTGTTGTTTGTTGAAATGATTGAGAAACAATATAATGACCATTCTGTTGTTGTTGAGGACTTCTTTTGTGAATAATTTGTGAAAGAAAGAAGATTTTTTTATTTCTTCTTCTTTTTGTTGATGCAAGGAGACCTCAAGTCATTTTCCCTTTTGTTAACATATTGTAAACTAGAGCTACTGTTCCTCTTTCCATCCTAAAAGACTGATTTAGTAATACTTACTTGGTATACGCTATCAATTTTTGCTGTGATGTTGTGGTTTTTTAAATAGATTTTTACATTTTTTTTGTTCCGGTGTTTTTTTCATTTTCTGTAAAGGGTACTTCTTTTGCAGACAATTTATTGCTCACAGCGAGTCAGGATTCTCTGAAGCTTGCAGATTTTGGGCTTGCAAGGGAAGAGACTTTGACTGAAATGATGACTGCAGAAACTGGGACTTATCGTTGGATGGCACCTGAGGTTTGGAATTTACTTTGCCCGTCATTTCTATGAAGTTGTTTGGAAGACAGATATTGTGAAGTTTTGTGTCCAGTTTGATGAAAAGAAGTTAAACTTTTCAAGGAAATTGCCAAACAAGCTACAATATGATAAATTTGGTTAAACCAACAAAGAAGTTTAAAAATATGTCATTCATTAAATTCATGGTTTATGGCAGTTGTACACTTCTACCATACATTTCTGCAGTTGTACAGCACAGTGACTCTGCGTCAGGGAGAGAAAAAGCATTACAACAACAAAGTTGATGTCTATAGTTTTGGAATTGTCCTGTGGGAGTTGCTGACAAACCGCATGCCATTTGAGGGAATGTCAAATTTGCAGGCTGCATATGCTGCCGCCTTTAAGGTACAAAAAATCAATTTCAGAAGCATCATTCTTAGTTTTTCCTCTAACCCTCCTTCACTAAATTTTTACATGTATATACACTCCTTTTCTATGGCCAAACAAAACTGCACTAGAGCAAACATAACATATCTAGATCTCATATTGTCTAATTGACTATGCATGTGCTGCACGCTGAGGTTTATATTCTACACGTCGATGGATAAAAAAAGTCATGTCCATATTTCTATAACATTATTTGTGGAAATGAAAGTTTATCATTAGGTGATGAGCAAAAGAGGATACTCATAGCCCGGAGAAAGTGTCAGTCCAAATAGAGAAGAAGTATATCTGACCAATCTATGTCATACGAATTGTATATTGTGAAGAAAGTTGTATATGAACAGCTTCAATTGTTTTATAAGTTGTAGCTTGTAGCTATGTGTTTCAAAATTCACTATAGAAATTTCAAGACTGTTAAGCGCTCTATATTGCTGATTTAAGGGTTTTGATTTCTTATAAAATGTGGTTAGTATGAGTCCTAATATATTTTCCGAACCTCTATTATAATACCAATGTAAATTGGTGTACAATCTCATAAATTAGGGATTATAACTCAAGCTTTATCGAAAAAAGCTCATTGAATTGAAAACTTGAAGTGAATCGTGTAATTGGTTCTGTCAACAAATAATAATAATAATAATAATAATAATAACAATCCATGTCAAGGTTGAAAATTTGTTAAACAAACACAAGCAAGTCAACAAGAACACAATGCATCCTTTTTTCCTTTCTAAAGATCATCATGTTTGCTTCAGGTACAGCAAACACAGATCTTGAATCTTACTTGTATCTTACAATTATTTTTGTTGGTTTTCCTAAATTTATCATATGTAACTTTTTTTATTCTTTGCTGGCAAATTACATGAAATAATTAGCTTTATTTGATAAAATGTGATTTTTTTATCGGGACATAAGTGTCTGAAATCGTTATCTTTTAAATGGAGTCAAGGATTCTCTTACTATAAGACAAATACTAATGCTATTGTAATGTTTAAGCTTCTATGGGGACATCCAAGTTATAGAGTATTAAATTTGTATCTTTATGACAAGTACCTTGTGAACTGATATATCAAAATGGAGGTAACATTTTCGAATCAAATCCAATCAAGGCGACTGTATTGTTGGGCAAATACTATAAATAGGTTAGAGTGTAATAAAAAAAGTATCTATCTTTATGTATGCTTGTTTGTGCTCTCATTTTAGTCCTTTAAACTTTAAGTCTCACAAGTAGGTGGTAAATCACCATCTCATGATTTTTTAATAGAGCTACTATTATACAAATACAAATAGTAATTGAGTAGGCCCATTTGTTTTTACCACTTGATGCAAAATATAAAGAGAATATCATTGTCCTGATCTTTGATTGTTTCATTTGAAAAATATATATGGTCTGCTGTCATTTGTTGATAAACCTAATCTATATGAATGTGGTGCTTTGACATGGCAATGCAGCAAGAGAGACCTATACTTGCAGAAGAGATTCCGCCAGATTTAGCATTCATCATACAGTCATCTTGGGTAGAAGACCCTAATATGCGGCCGAGCTTCACCCAAATCATCCGGATGCTCAATGAGTATCTGCTCACCCTTGCTTCACCCCCAACATCTAGCAACGGCACCGTTGTTGAGTTCTCTACCAGAGCTAAAGGCAAATTCTCCTTTATTCGCCACATTTTTGCTGCAAAGAAGGGTAAAAACTCGCAATGATGATGGTGGAAGAACATATAGCTGGAAGCTATGTGCTGGAAATATCTTTAACAAACAATAAAATGACATAAAGAAAAAGGGGTACCTTCAGTAGTCTATTTTAGCTGATGGCAGTGTTGTAAAGGAACGCGTTTCAATACTCTCTATGTCCATATTTCAAACATGTCTTTTTTAACCTTAATGGAATTTCTTGTCCAGCAGTTTGAAAGTAGCTAACCATGTTCCCTCAGGATGCTGCTGGATCTTTTCTCCTTGATGATAGATGTGGCTCTGGTGCACGCTGACAGCCTCCCGTGTTACCTTTTGGGTGGTCAACAATGTGCTCAGTTAAGGGTCAGCTGATAACCGCAACTGCATACCGATGACCAAGCCAAAAGAAATGTTTTTCAGTAATCACTTATTAAAAAATGGTTATCGGTTACATTACGGATTTTATCTTCAGTTTTCAGTCAGTGACCACTGGCACTGATCAATAACCAAACTCCACATATAGTACTCCATAATAGTATTTCTTTTTTGTAGTTCATATATTTGTATACATCGTATTGACTAGCCCAAATCCCAAACACTTTGAAGTCCATTAGGATAAACTCAATAGCAAAATTACTATACTAGTTTAAAGCTTCACTGTGTATTGTTCATCTTGACCTGAGCTTGATGGGATCTTCGGTCTAATGTGACTAAAACTTGAATGCATACTTTAAAGTACAAATTTAAAAAATAACAAATAAATTCATAGTCATTTATGAAAAAGAATTGCAAAGAAAACAAGTCACCATTCGATCCTCCGCCTTTTCTATCCTTTTAGATACCATAAAAGGTCAAGTCATCAATTGTTTCATTAAAAAATCATTTCACCCCAACTAGGGATGGATTGGGATGGGACTGGCCGGCCTTCGGGACAGCATTGGGTGGGCTGCGGGCTTAAGGATTTCAGCCTTTTAGACCCGGTACCGAGCCGAGTTTGTACTAGTACTGGGTAGGGGTTGGGCCTCGGCCCGGGCTCGGGTCGGACCCATTTTTTGATTTAATGGACTTTTTTTGAATATTTGACCGTTGAGGCCCGGCCAGCCCGGCCCACTAAAACATGAGCCCGAAGCTCGCCTGCCTCTTTCACCGGGCTGGGTCTCGGGCTTGGTACCCGTTGCGAACAACCGGGTCGGGCCTAAACATTGTCGAGTCGGGCAGCAGGTCAGATGGGCCTATCCTAGTCCATCCCTAACCCCAACTAAAAAAATGTTACATCTAGGCATGGACCGGTTCCGGTTCGGGCCCGACCGGGCCTCGGTTCAAGAAGGGGAGGCCCGGAACCGGCCCGGGTAACCCCAGGGGAATATTCCCATATACCCCAGGGGTACCACAATTGACGGGCAAAGACTCCCAGCCAGGCGACGAAACACTCAAGTACAAAAGTTTCAGCCGAGGCCGACCTCGACACTCGAGGTCGGGACTAAACATAAGGCAACGAATCGACAAAGCACGAAGATCAACCCGAGGCTGACCTCGACCCCCGAGGTCGGCGCCAAAACCAGCTCGCAGATCACCCAAATATGACGAAATATGAGGTTGGTGCCAGCTCCGACTTGTGGCACTGATGCAAGGCCGACCAAAGTCAACGAATGCCAGGAGAAGAATCACCGCCACCGGATAGAAGACCAAGGATGAATTCTCCAGTATGAGTTCACCCTCTTCTTGCTCTGACCTCCAGGAGCTCGAGGCCTCACCAGCTAGTTGTGGACTTAGACGTTTTAAGAAGATCAAGTACAACACGAGCCGCCGCCACGTCACCCACATTATACAAGAGCGCCACTTCACTCCAGGCGAAATTACCAAGGAGTATCTTGTGGAATACACTTGTAACGAACACGAATGTTCTGGTATAAATATGTTATTCACAGTTCCAATCAGCTAGATGTCCTGATCATCTCTCCAATCACTTTTACACGTGTCACCATATTATTAGATTAGTTTGTTTATTCTGTTAGGGAGATGTGACATGTGTCTCCACCATAATAGAATCTCATCTTTTTACTTGTTGGCCAAGTATGTTCTCTCTTAGTATAAATATCACCTTCTAACATGTGGAAAGAGACCCGATCAAAAATTCTCTTGTTGTTACTCTACTGGATCTTATACCCGATCTGACTTAGCATTTTTCACATTCTCTCTCTTATTTCTCGGATTCCGGCTACCCCCCAGGGTCGGTGATCCATCATTTGGGGCTCCCGTTGAGAGTTGAACGGTGAATCCAGTCTAGTTCATCCCCTTTTTTCAGATCTACAGCAAACTTTCCTTCAACAACAATGGCAAGAGGAAAGAGAGTAATGCGAAACAGACGCGCCGCTGCCGCCATCGCTCAACCTGAGCCTTCAGTTGAGACGACAACTACCTTTGGTGCTTGGAGGACTACTAAGGGCAAACAAGCTGCCCCGACGTCGGTAGATCTGTGCAGCCAGATTCAACGGGATTCTGAAGATCTCCGTCACCAGCTCTCTTAGAACCGCGATGCAGCGGCAATGCCGTCCGCTCACGTGATTACGCAATTCCAGAATTTTCTGATGGCGGATCCTTCTGCTGCGGTTGGCGCCCTCATCTTTGGATTGCAGCAGGTACTACCAACGTTGCAATCCTAGGCGGTGATAGGAGTGGCGAACAATGCCACAAGGCCAATTTCTCTGATGGCCTCCGAGGTCACGATATCTGAGAATTGGCTCCATAGAGGCCTCATGGGTTGTGGAGAGACCTGCTGAAATGGTTTTCCCTCCATCTCCACCGCGTTAACAGCCGACACTAGCGGTTGCTGCGGTTCCGGTCGCACAGTGGATTGGAGCTTCCCGTCAACAGGCCACTCCCAGGACTAACTCTCCACCACTGCGCCAGGTGTCCACCGGAGCACCTATCAATGTTGTGCCTCTAGCACAGCAGGCGGGGACTTCCCCGCCCCATGGTAGCATAACAATTTGTGGCCCTTCCGCCACCCCCCAATGCTACCACCAAAGTACATGACACGTCGTATGGATTACGGCTGCCACAATGATGAAGGTGTCTACTCCATCACCACTGAGGACTCTTCACAGTCCTTCGCCCCACAAGGACAACACAGGGATAACAACCCTAACCCTTGGATTGAGGTGGGAAGGCGTCCCATTTTCAGTCGCTTGGGGGACATATCTATGGCGAACCAACGCCTATGTGTCAACATCTGAGGGATAAACAGGGCAGATTTTCCAGTCCTGGAAATTCCTCAACGCCGCTAGTAACGACCACAATAGGTGGGGAGGAGGACTCCAGAGCGTATCCCGCTCCGGAAAGGCTAGGGGGCAATCATTCCCCCAGATTAGCCCCCCACCCACCACGCAACCAACAACATCATTCTCCCCCAAGGCAACAACGGATCTCACCACAACAACAACCTTTACACCAACCGCGACTCTCACCGCCAAGGCACCACCAGGAGTCTCCACCACGGCGCCAACGCCAGGTGGACCCCAGGGAGGAGCAGATCCGCCTTCTTACCCAGCAGGTGAACGAACTACATGCTGCAGCAGTTACAGCAGTGCCGTCACCGCCTCCTCCACATGTGACACGTGATGCCCAACTGGAGGCGTTAGTGCTCCAGGTACAACAGATGCAGGCTCAAAAATCAACAACGAGCCAACAACGGTGTGGGTAAGATCTGCTACACCCTTCACCGCTCAAATTATGCAGGCCCTTGTACCCCAAAAGTATAAGGGGTCCAACATTCAACTTTATGGGGGTAAAACTGACCCCCACGAGCACTATTCTCGCTACCAGTCCGACATGCACATGTTGGGTGCTAGCGATGAATACATCTGCATAATGTTCCCCTCCACACTAAAGGGGGAATCATATGACTGGTTTAACGACTTACCAGATGAGTCCATTGACTCATGGAGAGAGTTAGCCACGAGTTTTCTTACCCACTTCGCTGCAAGGGCGAAGATGAAGAAGCACTTCTCCTACCCGATGTCCGTTAAGCAGGGTAAAGATGAACCCTCAGGCAAGTTTTTGCAACGGTGGAGCGAAGAGACCTCAAAGGTCTATGGTGCAGACGACAACACCCGTCTGACAATGCTGCAGAAAGTCCTGTGGACCGGAGGTTTCTCCCTAACCCCAACTATAAAAATGTTACATCATTATCTTCTCCTATAAAATCTTTAAAAAAATGCATTGTGTGCACGACGTTTTACATGCCTGTGTACACCATATAAAAGGCTTCCCTTTATCGAGCCAATGACACACACATGCAACGTCAAATGGGAAGTGGGAAAGAGAATATAAAAGTACGTGAGATATTTTGCTAGAATTTTGTTGTGGGGATGCGGGAAAGAGAACGGAAAAGATGCATGGGCAAATGGGAAGGGGAGTGGTTGGGGCTGGCGGGATTTTTTTGGAGAGAAGTTGGTGCGGTGCACGTGGGAGAGGGTTTGAATTAAAAGGGAGGGCTTATATGCGGTGTGTACACGAGCTTGTAAACCGCCATGTACACAACGTATGTTTGAAATCTTTAACCCTAATTCACATTATTACCATATTTGAAATCTTTAACCCTAAATCTTTAGCACAACGCCATAATCTTATCAAAACCCTCTATCTTGGGGTGCACAATTATTTGGCAAAGATTTATATTAAAAAAATATGAATAAATTTTTACTATTCCATTTCAATTTTTTCTCCCTACTTTGCTAATTTTCAATATCTATCGTTCAAATAATCGACTTAAACAAGTAAGAACTAGCAACAATTTCACTATAAAAACCGACACTCAAAAATTTCAGCAAAATCAACCGATTCAATCTTTTCACCTTTTAATTCTTTCATTGAGACGAATGTCAAAATATTTAAAAAATTAGGTTTTCATTCTTTAAAGTGAAAAATAAACATCTCTAGTAAGAAAAAATCGAATAACTTAGTGTTTGTTTGGTGACTCTATTTTTCGGCTTATCAGGCTTATAGCTTATTAATCAATTTTTTTCCAAACATGTAACTTTTGATTTCGCGTGCTAAATTGTGTAATAATAAGAAAATGTAAGGTTAAAGTTACTTTTCTGGTGGTATTGACTGAAGTTACCGTAGAGAGTCATTTTAGCTATTTTTCATATAATTTTTTCTCTTTTATGAAAGAATTCCCTAAATAGGAGTAAAAAAGTTTTGAAATTCCAAAATAGGAGTATCATGTTTTTTATTCCTTGAATAGGAGTAAATTTCTGCCAAGCTTGGCATTACTGGGCTTTAAAACATGACATTTTTTTTCAAACTTGGCAGATTACTTCTATTCAGGGAATAAAAAACATGACACTTTTATTTTGGAATTTCAAAACGTTTTTGCTCTTATTTAGAGCAATTTCTATTCTTTTATTAATAAAATACTCCTTCAGTCCCAAATTGTAAGATACAATTACTATTTACTTGGTCAACATAAATCACTCTTAATCTTTTACTTTATATTTCAAAAGTTTGTGAAATTTGAATTATTTTTTGTAGGTTTTGTAGCGGTTTTAATGTAGTTTCTGAACATGTAAATTTTATTTTTTAAAACTAATTTGAGTGTTGACATGGATCAATTTACTTTATTGTCGGTCAAACATCTTAAACCATAAAGTATCTTACAAATTGGGACGGATGAACTATATCTTAAATATAATTAATTCATAAATCAACATAATCAACCAATACAACCACTGAAACAAGAAGTTCATAAATTTCAACACAATCAACCGATTCAATTTTTGTGTTAACAAAAGGGTTCTAAGTTTTTGAAGGGTTTTAATCATTGAGCTTATATTATGTGAAGAAAAAGACAATTTAATTGGACACAAGAACTTCCAAATGGCTGAGCACATTGTGATAATTATTAAATTATCATAATGAGTTAATGACAAGGGTGAGTTGATCGATTCATGAGATACACCTACTAAAGAGTAAGAGCAACAAGTTTGAAAATTATTACTACTATTTTCAACTTAATTATTAACTATTTTTTTACTAAATACGTAAATTTTGATTTCACGCGCTAAATTCTTTAATATAATTATGACTGTAGTTAATCTTCCGATTGAATTGACTTAAGTTACTATAGAGAGTCATTTTAGTTAATTTTCATAGAATTATTTTTTTATTTTATTAATAAAATATATGTTAACTTTAATTTTTTTCTTACAACAGATTCAACCTACTTAGGGGCGGTTTGATGACCATGTTTTTTGACTTATCAGTAGTTAAATTTTTCACCAAACATGTAACTTCTGATTTTACGCTCTTAATTATATAATAATCAAAATAAGTAAAGTTAAAATTATTTTTCTTGCTCAAGTGGCTAAAGTTATTTCTTAATTAGAAGAGAAAGCCTTAAAGTGTTTGGTAAGGACTTAATACAAAATTACAAATATACTCCTTACAATATTTGCGTTCCCCTTGGTCTGTACTCTGTAGTCGCTCCTCTCTTCCCACCATCTCTCCTTCAATTGACCGACTGTGCCGTGAATCACCATCTCAAGTCTGGTAAGTTTAATTCTCCACTCCTCTAGTCACGTTTCTACCGTGAAGACAATCTAATGCCTTGTATTCGTAGTGTTATTGATCATTGAGAAATTTTATAGATAGAGCTAAGATTGTATTAGTTTGGTTGTGGGTTAACGGTTTTACCTTTCGAGTTTAAAAATCAAGGTTTGCTTCTTGTGCTTCTCATTTTCTTCTGCAAAAAGGGGGCTGTTAGCAGTGTTTTTTTTATTTGGCTGGGTAAGTTTTGCCTTAATGCTAGGAGTCATCTATATTCTTCATGATCTGCTTTTTAATTTTGGGCATAGAAGGATTGATACTTATAGTAGTGTGGCAGATTTGGGAACTTACTCTATAAGTTAAGAACTTGATGTTTACTGTTGGGTATTTTGCTGCATACAAAGTTGTTAAATAGTTGGTGAGGTATTAACAGCTCAGGTGAAGTATGATGGTTATAAGTTTTATACTTATTTAATGACTTTTCTGAAGCCTGAAAGAGTTATGTTAGCGTATCATCTAATTTTGAATTTGAATTTTGAAGGATTCAAGTGTTCAGATCAAATTTCCATTTATGAACCTTCTATGCGGACTCTCTACAACAAGTTTTTTAAAAACAAGGTTTAACTTTTTATTAAAGCCTCCTGCTTTTTGAATCTACAATTCGTTTAGTGCAAAAGTAATATTTTTTTAGCTTCATTGCTTTGTAAATTTAGTAGCTCAAATTCTTACTAGCTTTAAATAAGTTACAGTGAGTTGCTATTGACTTCTTATATTAGTTTTAAAGCCAATAGAGCAAAGGTTCTCATCTATGAGCAGTGCCGACAGAGTACTCATTTTAAATTCACGGCGAGGCTTGTAACCTGTTCTCGTCAGCAACAATCATAAAAGTCGTGCACACAGCTCGTAGCCCATTACTAGTGTCACTGAGTACTAATTCAACTGGAAGTCATCAGTACGCTTTTCTTTTAATATTCCCTCCGTCCCATTCAAAGGTTTCCGTTTTCCTTTTTTGGATGCCCCATATGAGGGTTCTCATTTCTATTTTAGGAAACAATTAATACTCTTAAATGACAATTTAATCATCAAATATTAAAAATAATACATCTTTAACATCAGAGTTATCATCAATGACCCCATTATATTATATACTCATCAAAACTATTTTTCAAAATATACCCAAATAGCCTCATTTAATTATTGTCTAAATAACCATGCCATTTTATAATGGGAACCTTTGTGGGATGGAGGTAGTAGTTTTTATGAAAAAGGCATTCAAGGAGTTGCTTGCTAAATTCGTCATTGATTTCATTGATGATATTTAGTCTACTCAAAGTTCAATGAAGAGCACGAAGATCACTTGAACAAAAGGAATCAGAGATACTCATGAATCATAAACTATATCTTAAGTTTCCAAAGTGTGATTTCAGCGTGATCACATGGTATTTCTTGGTCATGTAGTCTCGAAGCAAAGAGTCTCAGTGGATCCTTCCAATGTAAAAGCATTGACGTCTTTGTGATTGGAATATGCCACAGAGTGTTTGCAAAGCTCGAAGTTTCTTAGGCCTTGCAGGGTATTATATGTAGTTTATGGAAGAGATCTCTAGTATAGCCATTCCATTGACTAACTTGACCCATAAGGGTTCGGAATTCGAGTGGAATGGTCATTGAGAGTAAAGTTCCCAAGAGTGGAAAGATAGATTGGCATCGACATTGATTTTAGCTCTTCTTGAAGGTAACAAAGTTTTTATTTATTTATAGTGACTCATCAAAAAGATTGAACTTTGAGTGATTATTATGTAGAATGAACGAGTTATTGTATACATGTCTCGACAACTCAAGGAATATGAGTTGAACTATCCTACCCATTAAATGTTTGGAGACATCACAAACGCAAGATCTTCACCTATATATTAACACAAAGGGACCTTAACATAGGACAAAGAAGGTGACTTAGAACTAATCAATGACTATGACTGCAAGATCCTTTTTCAGTAGGAGGAAACCAACAAAGCGGAAGAGACACTTAGTAGGAAGCCTGCTTCAAATATGATGTCAATGTTGATAACAAATACACGATTAAGGAGATTGAATATTTCGAGTTGGAGATATTTGAGGTCGACTAGCAATCATGACAACGACCCCGTTGATATTTGAGTGCGTCGCTGTGAAGCAATAACTTGAGCCCGAGTTAGTTAATGGAAGGAGTGTGTGAAGGGGTAAATCATAAATGTTCTACATTTCGTTGGGGTGAGAGCGGGGAATTACTAACCAAAGATTGATTGTGCATTCCAGACATTGAGTGGCTTAAGAAGCAAATTTTGTGGGATGTTCACTACACACCATTCACAATGCATTCTTGCTCAACCAAGGTTACTAGAACTTGAAGAAATGTTTTTGGCGGAAAGGATTGAAGAAGGATGTTGCAAAATATATCCATTCATGCGTGGCATGTCAAGAAGGTAAAGTGAAACATCAAAGTCTAGGTGGAGAACTTTAGCATATTTAGATTTCGGAGTGGATGAGACCAGATATCCATGAACTTCATTGTGGATTTGTCGAAAACCACTTAAGAGTTTGATGTTATTTGCATTATAGTGGATAGATTGACTAAATTTGTTCACTTTATTCTCGTTTCAACCACTACTTCTTTAGAGAGGTTAGAAGAATGATACATTCAAGAGATTGTGAAACTACTGTATTCCAATTTCAGCCACCCTTACATTCAAGGTAGAGATTTATGGCACACGACAATTGTCTGTTCTGGAGAGGTGCCAATATTCGAGGGATTTGAAACTCTAGGAAATATCTTTGTGCTTCAATATGCGGCTTGTCTGCTTACAATATTAGATTCAATAGTCATCAATGAAATTATAAATTGACACGTCTGTGTTCCCAAAAAAATGTTCCTCCTTCCCTTATTCACCCGTTCTTATGTAAAAGAAATTGTGTAGTTTCTCCATACTTGCAAAAGGGGGTAGTAAAATTGAATGTAAATATTTGTATATGACATCTTAATAGATTTATGGCATGTGACATGTGCTCCTTTCTCTTCACTCACTTGAGGAGCTTTGTGATTGGAAAAAGTGTCATCTTGATGACATTAGGTGTAGATGTCACATCGAGGAGAAAACTTGATCTAACCATGCCCTCGCAGTCTAAAGTCTAGTAATATTATATCATACTTCCTCCATCCCGTATAACTTTGACATCATTTCCTTTTTGGTTGTCCCAAAAACTTTGAGACTTTTCCTTTTAATCAACTAAATTGTGGTTCCTATTATTTCTCTTTCCTCTGCGCATACCTCAACCACACAATTTTTACTTTACGGAAAGTTCCTGAAATAGGAGTAAACATGTTTTGGAATTCCAAAATAGAACTGCTATGTTTTCCTTTGTGAAATAGAAGTAACATCACAATATTTACTGTCATGTTGGAATGATTACTGCCAAAATAGTTGCAGTGCAAGGCATTAACATGACACTATTTAGCCATTAATGGTAATATTTTTCAATCATGGCAGTAACAACTCTTATTTCGAAAAAAAAAACATGACAATCCTATTTTGGAATTTTAGAACGTTTATACTCCTTTTAGGGCGATTTTCCTTTACTTTATTATTTCTCATGCTGGTCAAACTTGACAAAGCTTTAAGGAATAGAAGCAGTAGTTGATATCAAAATCCCTCCCCAATATTTGCACCTGATTTATAGTAGTGTGCAAAGTGTCTTTATTTTCCTCCATTTGATCACCTCCTCAAACCTCTACTCCCCAAAACTTTATTTTAAATGCACAAAAGGTGAAATTTCAAATGTCAAACAAAAGCACGAAATCTGAATATAAATGTACTCACCACATAGAGAGTAAAAAAATGTTAATTTGATTCACTTCAAGTAATGCTATAGTCAAATCATGAATAAAGGTTCAATCTTTTTAAGATTAGGGAATAAAAAAGCTACAAATTTGAACCCTCATTAAAAAACTTCCTCCATATGCGTGCATGACCTAGACAAATCACCAAGAAAGATTTAAACTAGATATCTTATCTAAGTCTAGATCTTGAATCTTCCAAAATATTGTACTCCCATACGTCTTCTGATCTTTCTCTCCATCTCTCTCCGTATATCTATCTTTACATGTGTAAATTGAGGAAAGGGAGAATTTGACTTTGCACCCCACTTTATCGGTGATATTAAACTTTGCACCCTATTTTCAAAAAACTTTGACTTTGCACCCCATTTCACTTGAAAATTCTTTGACTTTGCACCCCATTCAGAAATATTTCTTCACAAAATGTTATGTGTTGGGGTGCAAAATCAAAGTTTTTTCAAAATGGGGTGCAAAGTCCAATTTCACCCAAAAAGTGGGGTGCAAAGTCAAATTCCCCTTGAGGAAATCCGTGTTTCCACCTCCCTTTACTGATCTATGACGCCTATCTTCCGTGTACTCTTGGTGTTTGCAGTATCAAATCACCATTTTCAAAGTTCCTTTAACTCTTGTCTTTGATTTACTATTCCTTTTGCTTTAGAAAATCAAGCACGGCTGACCTAATCATTCACTAGTTTCAGGTTTCATCCGTTGGTCAACCTGGTATGAGGGGGTTAAGTTTATGGTACTGCTCGTAGAAGATGAATAGGGTATACGATAGCAGGTTTGGATTTGCTGTTTTCGAATGGAGAAAGTTATTTGTGGCTCAAAGAGCTTAGCAATGTAGTTATGCTTTAAGTTAAAGGGTTCAATAAAATAGATTTTTAGAGTGAAAATTTTAGTAATGTCCTCTATTTGGTTCTCTTACTGGTATAAATACTACATATTGTTTTTTAGTGTTGTCGGTATTGGCCCAATAATACACAATGGGCTCTAGAGTTCGAGCAACCCAAGCATCAGAACCAGGCGGTTGGGAGTCCAGCACTCCAGCTCAGTCTAGATGGAACAACACCTCTGAGACGTGATGCTCAGGATCTCTATTGGACGGGCTAGGAATCCCTAGGATCACGACAATGTCCAATACCTCGAGTTCGAGAGTGAGAATGGGCACCCGACTGGAAAGTGCTTGGCCAAGGAGCCGGATGCTCCAAGGAGGTCTATGTTGACTTTAAGTCTTGGGGCACAATACATGATGCATGTGCACAAATCATATATAGGCAGTAAACCATCATACAACAAGAAGAGTCAGTCCACATTAATGGGATAATAACACTTGTACATAATAGAGGATATTGCACAGGACATGCCTATACAAATGAGAATGGCATGTGTTGTACCAGTTGAGGAGGGCCTGGGACGCACCACCCGATCATTAGAGAAATTAATTATAAACATTCTCAGGTGAATAAGTTTACACTTTGCATTTGTATTCACAATAATAGAATAGTTCGTCCCTCATTGTTGTGAGCAGGAAAACACCTGACCATTAGAGAAATTCAAGATAAACATCACCCTTCTCAGGTAAATGAGTTTACATTTGTATTCACAATAATAGGATAGTTCGTCTGTCATTGTTGTGAGCGGGAAAAGTTCAAAGAGAGGTCTTAAACCGTTCAATACATAAATCATTTATGTTCTTGTTGGTCTTGCTCATGAAGGAATCTTTCAATATAGGGGTAAGTGTTGTATTATTTCTTCTTCCATAATCCCTCATTTCATATATATTTTCTCCAACTGTAAGCATTCACCACTCCATTACAAACTCAAAGCTTTCTGCACCCCATCTGTGGACCCCCAATAATGCATCACCGACTCACAGCCACAAAACCCTAACCCCCCCAACAACACAATCACCATAAGGCATTTATATGCCTTTACTGTTATCATCACTGCTTTTTAGATATATGTATTCGGATTTCTGGACTTACCAATGACTCATGATGTGACTGAATTCAGTTCAACCTTTCCAGTCGAAGTTCTCAACGATTGAGGATGAGACTGAACACTCAAACCCTGAAACCTGATATTAGAGCTAATCTTTTTCCATCAGTGGCGAATAGCCTGCTATACTCCCCTAATCTTTTGCATCACTGGCGAATAGCCTGCTATACTCCTCAACAAATGACAATTGTACACAAGCTATTGGAATCCGAAATCCACAACCAATGAAGTCAAACACAGAGAGTCATCCTAATCTCGTCACCTTCCTCTGGTCGCGTTTCTACCATACTGTCTGCTGAAAGCCGACCACCACTAGAAGAACACAATAGCCACTCAAAACCTTACCACAAACGCCTAGAACTCCATTTAGAAATCCTAGGGAATCGCCACATCAGGAGCTTCAACAATATTTTATTCTTATTTTTTAGGCCTGGAGCTCATCATGCTCTTAAGAAAATGAATCATAACCACAACTATCTTGATTCATAGAGGCGGTAAATTTATTTTGGATACTCGTGGTTTACTAGCTAGAGTGGTTCATTATTTATTTTCAATTTGGAAAAGGGCCATTACAACAACATGACTGAGTAAATGGGAAAATATAATCTCACCTTCATCCATGGGTATATTTTGCATGAATTATGATAAAATATCAACTAATTTTATACTATGTATTGCATTTTTCAATGAATGCCACATATTTGTAGATCAGAGGTATATGTGTCAAGAAATTGAGAAATATAAATGTGATACATTTTTCTTCTTTTCAGAACTATACAGTGTTTTCATCAATTGTGTAGCAACAGTAACTTTTCAGGGGTTCACATAATCGGTGGTTGCAATAAATACAGCCTTTCTGGTTTATAGTATGCTCCTGGACCCAACAATGGAGCAACAACTGGCCAGAATATACAATTATTGAAAGAGCCAGGTCATTTAGTACTTAGTACAACATGTTTGAAACACTTGACCTGTCTGATTGATAACATTTAGGTCTTTATATATTTGTTTGAAACTCCTTTTAATATATAAGTATGTGTCCATAATAGATTGTAAAAATTAATAACCCGTATAACTTTTTAAATTTGTAAGGTGAATAGAAAGCATTCACAAATCTGATAAAAACTTGCCTTGTATTTTCAAAAAGCGCATTTATATGTAGGGAGGGCCTTATATTAAAATGATGACAACCAGCACGGTTATAAGTAAAACACATATATCAGATACTATACAACTATCTGGAGAGTGCAACTCAAATGTTGATGACCAAAATGGTTTATCAAAGCCATGTTTGACCTTACTGATACCCGTACCTCACTCCGTTCTAACCCTACCAAATTAACAAACATAATAGGATGAACAACAATCTCGAAATCCAACACTACCATGGTTGATTGAAGAAGGGCTTAAGAAAGTATTAGAGCTAATCAATGCTAATAAAGTGTTTAATAAAAGGGAAAATCACAGTTTTGGTCCCCCAATTAGCCACCATATTGAAATCCTAGACCCGTGTTTCTGCTTTGTTAAATGTCACCCCCGATTAGTCAGAATTGTTTCAAATGTCACCCCTGCCGTTAAAAATCTTACAAAACTCCGTTTGGCTTTCCATTTTTCCGGGGTAAACATGTAACTTCGCATCCTTATACGTTTAAATCCCTAAATCGAGTATAAACCAAACTTTCTTTGTATAATTCAAGTGAGGCACACGCCATTTGCTTGGGAAGCTCTCTTCCCTTCGTTCGTTCTTCAGCCGTTTGGAATTTTAAAGAGGTGCCACCATTGTCATATGATTTAGGGTTCTTCGTCATCATCTTCGACCTTCAAACGGAAATCTTGGCTTCAATATAGCTTCAATATTCGAACGTCATGTCCAACGGAAAGTTGGCGAAAAAGAGTTCAGAGCAAAGGATTAAGCAAAACATTTCAATTTGGTCTGATAAGCGTGATAAAGGGTTGACGATAACTCGATTTAGGGATTTAAACGTATAAGGATGCGAAGCTACATGTTTACCCCTGAAAAAATGAAAAACCACACGGAATTTGTAAGATTATTAATGGCAGGGGTGACATTCAAAACAATTCTGACAAATCTGGGGTGAGATTTAAAAAAGAAAAAACATGGGTCTGGAATTTCAATATGGTGGCTATTTGGGGGACCAAAACTGCGATTTTCCCTTAATAAAATGACTAAATCAAAATGTGTATAATGTGTTCTAGATTTGAAATGAGATGTAAGATTACATTGACACTTAAAAATTAAAAGTTTTTTTGGCTACGTACTAGAAGTGTTGTTTGATTTTTTAAAAATTGTCTGAGTCTAAAATAGTGTCAGTTTTTGACAAATATTTCTCCGTTGGGTACACGTGGGTCTAGCGGGTCGGGGCGGGGGATGGGGCGGGGGTGGGGGCAATTTTTTTCACGGGACGGGGATGGGGGAGTGAACCCCCGCCACATTGTCATCCCTATTCTCCCCACTTCTCAAGTCATCTCACATGTGCATCACTTAGTCTTCTGCGCACATGACCAAATCAACACAATCGAGACTCCTACATCTTATCTTCTTTAGGTGCTACTCCCACCTTTTGTCTGCTGATCTCATTTATCAAGTGGTCTTTTCCGGTACGCCCACAGATCCAACGCAACATACGCTTTTCTGTCATACATTAATGCAGACCTTATTGTTGTCCGATAAAATTTACCCTTCAGTCTAGTTCATCCACCCTGCTCTGATTTTATGGGATGCATCTCCATCTAGTTCACCATCCTTCTGAATTATGGAGCCCAAATAACTGAGCATATCACACACTCGTATCTTCTTGCAATCAAGGGTAATCCCACTAATACCACTACTTCTACAGTTCTACCTCCACCAAACTTGCACTCCATATACTCAGCCTTGCTTCGGCTCAGTTTGAAACTCTTGCTCTCCAATGTTTGTTGCCATATTTCCAACTTTGCTTTAACACCGGATTGTGTCTCAACAATCAATGCAATATCATCGGCAAACATCATGCGCCACTGTATATCTTCTTAAATTGATTTCGTAAGTCCATTCATGATTATAGCAAATAAGTAAATAATGACGGAAAATGCATTTTTATTGTTCTACCCCTGTTTTGTCCATGCTATGAGCTCAAGAACAACCAAAGCTCCTTCAGAGTTGATTTCTCGGTACACCACCTTAGTTGCCGCCATTGTCCTTGTATGCTAACATCCCTTGTTCGGGGTTTCTCGAACTCTTAAGTAGTGTTTTATTATTGAGACACTATCCCGCCGGACCAAAAAGTAAAAAACAATTACTCCTCCATCCCGCTAACAATGGGACAAGAGGGAGTGACACGCAAATTAATAAAAGGTGGTTTATGTGGTTGATATTGAATTGATAGAGTAAGAATAAAGTAAGAATGATTTAGAGCCACACAAACTTTACCAAATTTGGTATGAGACAATCTTAGAGGGACGGACCGATAAGGTAAAATGGGACAATCATAGCGGGACAGAGGTAGTAGTATTTATACAAATAAGATTTTTTGGTTTAAAAAAGAGGCAAATCGCATATATGGTCCCTCAATTATCCATGAAATTAAAATCTCAGACCTGTATTTCTGAAATTGTAAATGTCACCCCTCAATTGTCCAAATTGTTGTAAATATGGTCCTTTAAGTGGGAAAATGTACTCTCGCCCACATTGTATATTTCACCCCTAAAAAGGACTACATTTACAGCATTTTGGACAATTGAGGGGTGACATTTACAATCTCAGAAATACAGGTCTGAGACTTTAATTTGGTGGATAACTGAGGGACCATATATGCGATTTTCCCTTTAAAAAATATTGTATTGATCCCTTCAGCTTATACAATAATTGATTTAGTAACCTTTTTGTAGAGCTTTTGCTGCTTTTAGTCCCACAAATATTATTTCAGTGACACTTTTGGCACTCGATTTTGATTTTTTTCATCTTTAGTCCTTCGACTATTGTGCGAAAGACACTTTTAGTACTTGTATTTGAAAATTCTATATTTAGCCTTTCTACTTTCATAAAAGAAACACTTTTCTGGTCCTTCAACTATTATCATAGTGACATTTTTTGTCTTCCACTTATTCAACAAAATGATAATGGAAGGACTAAAAGTGTCAATTTGATAATAATCCAGGGACTTAGTGTGAGGAATTTCAACGTCGGGACTAAAATTGTTTCTTTCCCAATATTGGAAGGACTAAAATTGGGAAAATCAAAGTCAAGTAACAAAAGTGTCAGTGACACAACAGTTGAGGGACGAAAAGTGGCAAAAACTCCCTCTTTGTACTACAAAACAACGTTATCTTTCTCAGCTCAAATGCATAAAAAACGGAAAAGTCAAACCTTCCCATCTAATACCAGTCGTATGATAAACTTAACCCCTTCACACCAAATAGATCAATGGATAAAATTGGAATTTAGTGATCAATCACGTAAAAGGAACACTAAATCCAAGTCAGGAGCCAATGACACTGACAAACGATAACGTCTGCCCCAGTCGTAAGCTTAACCAAAAGTTTATTAATGATAATAGTTCTTAAGACATCCTTAAATACTACTTAACCTAATAATAAAATAAGGCCATCTAGGCCCAACAGTTTATTAGAAATAACAATTAATGAAATAAAGTCAAAAGACCCAGCAGTCAACCCAGCCCATCTAGGCCCGCTGGCGGCGACGGTAAACTAATAACGGGCGAGGCCCGTCCTCCTGCAGCACCGGCCCACTTGTCTGGTGCTCCCAAGCATGCCCACTTATCTCTTGCTCCCTAACAATTTGCTCCCCCTCCGAAGCAACCTTGTCCCCAAGGTTGAAGTGAGGAAACTGCTGCCGAAACTGCTTCACTCCAACCCAAGTAGCGTCATCTTCTGACTGACCAACCCACTGCACCAACACCTGCTCCACATCTTCCCCTTTTTCCTGCACCTTACGCCATGCCAAAACAGTAACAGGTTCGAACACCGGTCCCATAGGTACCTCCAAACTCTTCGGTAGTTCTGTTTCAATGGGATGATCTCTGACAACCCGGCGTAGTTGCGACACATGGAAAACAGGGTGGATTCGGCCGGTTGCTGGAAGCGACAACCGGTAGGCCACTGGGCCCACACGTCCTTCAACCAAAAATGGACCATAGAACTTGGATGAGAGTTTGTGATGAGATTGTCGCGCTAGAGAATTCTGCCGATACTGAGGAAAACACGGTCCCCAACCTCAAACACCACATCCCGCCTTCGCTTATTTGCATGCTTAACCATTTGTTGTTGCTCTTTTTCCAGGTTACCTCGCAAACGTCGCAACAACTCATCCCGACCCCCCAGAAAATCTGCCACAGCCGCTACTCGACACTCACCCGACAAGAATCGCTGTAAAGATGGAGGTGGCCTTCCATACAGGCATACACCACTTCGAAAGGGGTCATTCCGGATGCAGTTTGGTAAGCGGTATTGTACCAATATTCTGCCCAAGGTAACCAACGAAGCCACTTATTCGGCTGGTCACACGTAAAACAGTGAAGATATGTTTACAATACACGATTCAGCACTTCCGTTTGGCCATCCGTCAGGATGGTATGCAGAGCTGTACTTCAAGTGAGTACCCGACTGCTTGAACACTTCTTTCCAAAAGGTACTAACGAATAGTGGGTCCCTATCACTGACTATAGATCCTGAAATACCATGCAATCGTACAATCTCCCGTACAAAAATTTGGAGAGCCTATCCAGCACCACCATAACACTCATATACCCTTGAGATTTGGGTAAACAAGTAATAAAACCCATGGCCACGTCCTCCCAAACTAAGTCTGGAATTGGTAGCGGTTGTAGTAATCCTGCCGGCGACATAGCTTCATATTTTGATTTCTGGCAGACCAAACATTTGGCCACATACTCCTGCACCTGACGAAACATGCCCTACCAATACACATTGCTTGCTAATTGCCGATACGTCCTGAGAGCCCCCGCATGGCCCCCCTTCGGTGTGTCATGAAATTCTTGCAATAGTTTTGGAATCCACTCAGAAGTGGCTGCCAGCACCAACCTTCCTTTAAAAAACAGTCTGCCCTCAATTATTTCGAACCCCACCCGGCTGTTCGGGCCAGTTTTCAAGGCAGTCACAATGCTTTGAATAAACTCATCACGCCCTTGTTCCTCCAACACCTCCCGCATCCCTGCCCAATGCGGCACACTCAGTGCTGTCAGCGACCCCTCCTCAGCCCTTCTAGATAGTGCATCAGCCGCTGAATTGGAGACTCCCGGTTTATACTCAATTTGGAAATCATACCCCAATAATTTAGCCACCCAATTCTGCTGCGAGGGAGTCACAATTTTCTGTGTGAGAAGATGTTTGAGACTGTGGTGATCGGCGCGGACCGTAAAATGACGACCCACAAGATATGGCCGCCAATGTTGGATTGTCAATACCAACCCCATTAATTCACGTTCATAGGCTGATTTGGTAAGGGTGCGATCAGCCAATGATTTACTGAAATAAGCAAGCGGACGTCCTTCTTGCATCAAGACTGCCCCTACTCCCATACCCGAAGCATCGCACTCAATCACAAAGTGACGCTTGAAATCCGGCATGACCAAAACTGGCGCTTCAGTCAGCGTGCTCTTCAAGCTCGTGAAAGCAGCTGCCGCCTTTTTTATTCCATTCAAATTTGGATGGTGCGTCGTTCTTTAATAAGGCTGTCAGAGGCCGCGCTATGATTCCATAATCTTTGACAAAACGACGGTAATAACCCGCCAACCCCCAAAACCCGCGCACATCCCAGACAAAATGCGGTTGTGGCCACTCAACTATTGCACGAACTTTAGAAGGGTCCATCTCCACGTCTGCCGCTGAAATGATGTGGCCAAGGTACTCTACCTTGGACCCCCCAAAGACACATTTCTTTCGGTTGACCTTGAACTGATTCTGGTGCAAAATGTGCAGCACCTGTGTTAAGTGTACACGATGCTCAGCTACTGTCCGACTGTAGATTAAGATATCATCGAAGAATACCAAGACAAATTTTCGTAAGAACAGCCTGAACAGATCATTCATCGTGAACTGGAAGGTGGCCGGTGCGTTCGTTAACCCAAACGGCATCACTAGAAACTCGTAGTGGCCGCTATGAGTACGAAAAGCCGTTTTAGAAATATCTCTTTCAGCCACTCATATTTGATGATAACCGGCTTGGAGATCAAGTTTTGAAAAATTTACAGCTCCCGATAATTCATCCAACATCTCCTGGATTACTGGAATCAGGTACTTGTCTGGAACAGTCACCTTATTTAATTCTCTATAGTCCACACAGAATCACCAGCTGCCATCTTTCTTTTTAACTAAGAGAACCGGGCTTGAGAACGGGCTGGAACTTGGTCTGATGATGCCTGCCCTTAGCATGTCGGACACGAGGTTTTCAATCTCATCTTTTTTACTATGCCCATACCTATATGGCCGGACAGATACTGGGGCCGCTCCGGGTGCCAACTCAATCCGGTGGTCTGTTGGTCGTTGCGGGGGAAGGTCCCTCGGCTCTCTAAATACTTCCTCAAACTCCCGTAGTACATCAGCCACTTGCTCCTCGTTTGGCCTCAATATAGTAGTGGGCTCTCCCTCCATCACAATTGCCCAAAATTCCACATCCCTTGTCCGAAGTAGGGCCTGCAGTCCCACCTGTTTCCGGCAGAGTGTCGGGTCCCCTTTCAATTTTACCTGACTGCCCTGCCAATCAAAGGACATAGTCATCGTATCCCAATTGGTCTGGACCTCTCCCAAGGTTGCTAGCCATGCTACTCCCAGTATAATATCCACTCCTCCCAACGGGAACACGTAACAATCTGCCTGGATTTGGCACCCCTGCAGCGAGATTGACACCCCTTTGCAAACCCCTTCTGATTCTTGGTGACGCCTGTCCCCTAGCTGTACACCAAACTTTCCCGTCTTTTCTGCTCGTAATTTGAGTCGGGAAACAAGGGCTGTTGAAATAAAGTTGTGACTTGCGCCACTATCCACCAAGATGGTCACTGTTAACCCCTCGGTTACGCCTTTGAGTCGCATAGTACGGGGACTAGAAATCCCTGCCATGGAATATACGGGCAAGTCCATAGCTGCTGCCTGTTGGCTGTTGTTCCTCCTGTTCGCCTAGCTGCTCGACCTCTTCGGGTGGAATAAAAAATTCAGTTTGGCTGAGATCGAGTTCCTCATCTTCCTCGGCGACCATTACTCTTAACTGTTTTAGCGGACATTCATGCCCGGGGGTGTAGGCCTTCTTGCAACGGAAACAAAGCCCTTTTGCGCGCAGATCTGCCAACTCCTGTGGTGAGAGGGGTGTGAACCGAGAGCGATTAACAGACTGGCCTGTCATTGCTGATCCGGTTCCCGGCGTACGACTTGGAGATCGTGAGGATGCTGTGCTTCCCCCTACCCCCTGATTGCCAATCGTCGGGGGGGAAGAAGACCCCAAAACCCGCCAGCCTTGCTGTAACTACTGGAATGGTACTGCTGACTGTTGCAACCCCGTTCCACTCTCCCTCCAGACTGAACAGTCAAGTTGTCCTCGACATCTTTGGCCAACTCCATAGCGGCTTCCAGATCAGCTGGTCGTAAAAGCCGTAAGCCCGTAAGGAGCTACGAATCGTGTCTCGCAGCCCTTTCATGAAGTACCCCAAGTAGTGGGCATCACTCAAACCTGGTACCTGACTGGCCAGTTGAACAAACACGTTTACATAATCATCCACAGACCCCGTCTGCTTGATGTCGGCCAACCGTTCGAATGTGCTCCCCTTAAACCGTGTATCAAAACGCCCCCATTGCAACCATGGCAGACGCCACCTTCAATTCAGGTCGGGTCTGATGGATTTCAAACTGCTGATTGGCCCTGGCAAGCCATCCAATCGGGTCTGCCCCCTCAAACGCTGGTAGTGTCAGAGGCGCGGTCACAGACCTAGGGTTGTGGGAGTTCTGCGAGTCATCTGTGCCTCCTCCTGACTCAGAATCAGCCAGCGGTTCCCCCGACGCCATAACCTTCTGCGCCAGTTTGTCTAGGGTTTGTGTGATAGCATCCAACTTGGCGTTGGTGGATTGCACTTCTGCCCTGATGTCTTTCTGGTCCGCTTCTATCGCATCCATGCGTTGATCAATGGTGGAACAAGTCACGATGAACGTAGGGCGGTGGATAGGATCCGGCAGGTCGGACCAAATTGATAGAAGCAGAAAACCTAGCAAACGATAACAACGTCTGCCCTAGCCGTAAGCTTAACCAAAAGTTTATTAACGATAATAGTTCTTAAGACATCCTTAAATGCTCCTTAACCTAATAATAAAATAAGGCCATCTAGGCCCAACAGTTTATTAGAAATAACAATTAATGAAATAAAGTCATAAGACCCAGCAGTCGATCCAGCCCATCTAGGCCCGCTGGCGGCGACGGTAAACTAATAACGGGCGAGGCCCGTCCTCCTGCAGCACCGGCCCACTTGTCTGGTGCTCCCAAGCAGGCCCACTTATCTCGTGCTCCCTAACAGACACTTTGAACAATAGTGATTAGGTATTGCAAACACCAAAAGTACACAGTAGAGAGATACCATAGATTGGGAATGGGTGAGGGAAGCACAGTTGCCCGATTTTCAAATGTAAAGATGGATATACTGAGAGAGATTAGAAGAAGAATGATTCAGAAGGTTTAGAAGATTCAAGATCTAGGCTTAGTTGAAACTTGAAATATCTGGTTCAAACCTATCTTGGTAATTTCTTTTAGTCAATCTTCTTGTATGTCCATGGAGGAGGAAGTTTTGGCCCAAGAGTTATAAAGTTTGTAGCTTATCTCATCACAGATTCGAAAAGGACTAAATCTCTATTTATGACATTACTACAGTATTGCTTTGAACTGATCAAATTGAAGTTTTCTATGTTCTAATGTACTACGTATTAATTACATTCATTTATTCAAACTGAGTGTTTTTTGTTTGGCATTTGAAATTTCACCCTTTGTGCATATAAAAATAAAGTTTTTGGGAGTTGGGGTTTGAGGAGGTGATGAAATGGAGGAAAATGAAGCAGCTTTGCACACTGCTTTAAATGCAGTGCAGGCATTGGGGAGGGGTTTTGATGTGAACTATGATACAAGATTGCTCTACTGTAAGGGAGTGGCTGGCTCAAGGGTTGTTGAGATTGATGAAGAACGCACTAGGGATGTTTGCTTGTATGGAAATATATTTGTTCCTAATGTTTCAAGGGATATAATGAATACCCAAGAGACTGGTGGGCGTGATGGCTCTGGCATTTGCACCTATCCTGAGGTACATATGCTCAACTATGCTGTTCTGAAATTCAGTATGAGTTTCCTTCATGTGTTTGTCATAGTTGTGTCTATTTTGTTACTTCTACCTGAGAGAAAAGAGTTCTACTTAAACAAAAGAAGCAAATTTTCATTGCATTTTTTGTTTTTACCTAAAAATAAGTGTCTAACGCCAGTATGTTTGATTTAGTGGAACAAATAAATTTAGCATTTAGTGCCTATGATCTTTGTGTAATCCTGTATTGGTTTTCGTCTTTTCGCAGTAACTAAACTGTAGTGTCTTCTGATACAGATGGTGGAGTTCTTCAACAGAAAGGCCAACCTGTCAGGCCATGCCCCTCTTGGTAGTTTCAATGCTGCATTCAGTTTCACCGGTTCAAAGGAAATAGATGCTGCCACCACAAAGACCCTTTGTATTGATGGGTTTTTCATGCCACTTGCTAGAGTTCAGCTGATGAAAATGCCTTTGGCATTGCAAGAAAATGTTAGAAGAGCAGTTCCAACATCATGGGACCCACCCGCATTGGCAAGGTCATGATGTGCCAAGTATTCATCATTTCAATCACTGTTATCTTTCATTAACACTAATGTAGCTTTCTCTTCCATTTCAGTTTCATTGAAAATTTTGGGACACATATTATTACATCCATCACTATTGGTGGTAAAGATGTAATTTATGTTAAGCAGCATCTATCGTCTCCCCTATCTACGGTAGAGATAAAGAGTTATGTTCAAGATATTGGAAATCAAAGGTTTTCCAGCATTGAGAGCCACCTTACCAACTCTGGGTTATTGATGTATAGGGATAAGGCTAGTTTCTTCTTATTCCTTTCTTAATTGACCATTTTGCTTCGCTTAGCATTCTTTAACATATTGTCTTCCAACCCTTACATAGTAGTTTGACTTTTTAGGGCAGTGATCCATCTTTGTTCAACGGCCATGGGTTATTTCCCCAGCCTATTAGTGCTCCATCTCTTGCTGGCAATGGTAAAGAGGTATTAAGATATGTTTTTGCACATCTTTTATGGGGTTTAAATTATAAAAATGTCTAAGAGCTTGGTGTTCCATTAGGGCATGTTTGGATCATGGTATGCAAAGGAAAGTAAAAAAAAATAAAGCTTAAGAAGGTGCATTTAGTCGAGTAAGTTGGTGAGGACAGTAAATGTACAATATAGGGAGAAATTCTTATGTGGCACAAATTCATTGGATGATGGTAAGTTAGATATATGGTCATTATGCAATGAAGGTGTGCCACATTGAACTGTATCCTTATAATTTGCACTCTTAAAGCTCTCCTTGATGTATTCTATTTCTTATGTTCGGGTTTACGTTGGGAAATGCAAAGGAAAATGAAATACTCCGTATGTTTTTTAGATATTTAGATCTCTTATGACTTGGTCTTTATGTAATAGAAATAAATCATCATCATCACCCCAGTGCCGCAAAGGCTCCCCTGCACTAAAGCACGGAGAATGTTTCCGGATGACCCATAGTGAAAACCGCGTTGAAAATTGCATGGACTGATGGCTGCTTCATAAAAAAGAAGCGCAGACAGTTTAGTGAACCATTTTGCTATATTCCATCATATTCCCAAGCCAAAAAAATAGTGAGTCTTTGGCTCCATTGCAAATGATGGAAGTGTAAATAAATAAATAAAATGAATTTGAACAATTCTGTAAAATAAATATATTGGTTTTGATTTTTGTTCTTTACTTCCCTCAAAATTTCTTCCCTTCCCAATTTTATCTCTATTTGTTCTTTCTATTTGGCCTCTTTAGTCTTTTCCTCATTCTAAGCAGATTAGCAGACCCTACGATCTGGAGGAAGTTCCTTTTCGGCTTCTTTCTATTATACTGCACCAACATTCTAATAAGGAGCGTCCTTCATGGCATGTGGATAATATGATAAAAGCCTTTCATGTGATGCAATGTGTGTTGACTAAATGCATGCGAGTAGGCACGTGATAGTGTGATTATGGAATCCTGAAAGGCTGAAATATTTTTGGATGGGTCTAATGCAGGACGTTACAGTCATTTTCAGAAGAAGGGGAGGAGATGATCTGGAGCAAAGCCACACTCATTGGGTAAAAACGGTCAAATCTTCACCTGATGTCATTGAGATGTCATTTTTTCCAATCACAATGCTCCTCGAAGGAATCAAGGGAAACGAGCATTTGTCACGTGCCATAAATCTATACGTAGAATGTAAGGGTGTCATACAAACAATTTCCACATTCCACCTTTCTATTCTCTCCATTCTGTTGTTTCCCTTTTAAAATTATGTGGTTGAGATTTATAGAGAAGAGGACGAAATAATATGAACCACCCAACTTTTTACATGAAAGGAACAGGGGCAAAGGAGATGAGGAACCTTTTTGTGGGAAGGAGGTTTTTTTGGGAAGGAGGGGTTATTAATTTATAAAATATCCTAATCGATGGCTATTGAGTCTTATACTGTTGATTGTAGACAAGCCTCAAATTGAAGAACTGAGATATTTCCTAGAGTTTCAGATCCCTCGAATATGGGCACCTCTTCAGGACAGGCATCCTGGCCTACAAAGAAAGGAACCTGTTTGCCCTTCACTGCAGTTTAGCATGATGGGTCAAAAGCTTTATGTCAGCCAAGAGCAGGTAATCTCAGTATGTTTAAAGTTGTGTTTTTTACTTGTTTTCTTTTTATTATCATCATTACCCCAGTGCTGCAAAGGCTCCCACTTACGGTGAGGTAACGGGGTTGGATGTACGTGTTAGGGTTCTGTGATTGAGAACGGGTCCAGGGACGACTTGGGGTAGCAGGGTACCCGGTTGAGGTCGTAACCTGCCGGTTAGGGTTACTCTTCTTCTTGCCCGTGGCTGGAAGAGCGCGGGGGAGGGGAGAGAGAGAGTCCGTACTTCTCTGGGAAGGCTGAATAAAGAATATAAATAGGCATCCTGCCTTTACATGATAGAGTTCTAGTATAACTAAAATTGTAACATCTAAATACTTCTATCACTAATAGGAAATAATAAATAAATAAATAAATTAAATATAAAAATAGCATTAAGATAGATTCCTCTTCCAATTAAACTTCCCGCTGGCCCATATGTTTCCTCCTGCGATAGGGAATTCCATAAAATGCATCCGTAACATCACTCCCTCCCTCAAAACTAGGCTTGTCCCCAAGCTCAAATCCTTGATAAGCAGCAATAAAAGTGTCAAACGGCTCCCAAGTTGCCTCCTCAGTTGTGTGGCCTTGCCAATGGACTAACAGCTCCTTCTCTCCTCTGTTTAAACGACAGTGAAGAACATTGGCTGGCAGTGGCAGGGCCTTGCCGTCCTTCAGCGGTGGTAGTAGCCCCGGTGCTGGTGGTGGAACACTCCCTTGATGAGGCTTTAGTAAAGAGACATGAAAAGTGTTGTTTATTTTGCTTCCTGGTGGTAAACTCCAACTGATATGGTGGTAACTCCAACTGATATGCCACACGAAAATCAAATCCCACCAGCTTGCTTAGCCTATGCTGTTGCGGACACTGGACAGGTTGTCAAGCGTTGCTCCAGGAGGTACTTTAAACTGGAGTGATCCGTGCGGACCAAAAATTGGCGACCCCAGAGGTATGGTCTCCAATGAGGAATGGCTTTAGCAAGGCCAATTAACTCTCTTTCATAAGCTGCCAACTTTTGAGCCTCTGCGAATTTCCTACTGAGAAAGGCAATAGGGTGTCCTTCCTGCTGGAGCACTGCCCTCACCCCGGTCCCGGATGCATCACACTCCACCACAAATTCTTTCTGGAAATTAGGTAATGGAAGCATGAGAGCAGAGGAGAGTAACTCCTTCAGCTTCTCAAATGCATGGTGCGCTTCTGGAGTCCACTGAAATGATTTTTTCCTTACAAGAGAAGTTAGGGGGGCTGCAATCTTGTCGTAATTCTTTGAGCTATCAGCTTCTACCCCCTTTTCATTTATGACATGTCTGAGGTATGAGACTTGGGTTTCTCCAAATATGCATTTGGACTGCTTCATGAAAAAGTTGTTTTAACAGAGAATTTCAAACACATGCCGCACATGATGAAGATGTTCCACCCATGTTCTACTGTAAACCAAAATATCGTCGAAGTAAACCAAGATGAACTTGCGTAAATAGGGGTGAAAGATGTTGTTCATAAGATTTTGAAAAGTGGATGGTGCATTAGTTACGCCAAAGGGCATAACTAAGAAATCGAAATGCCCATGATGTGTACAAAATGCAGTCTTCTCCACACCTTCGGGGTGCATCCGGACTTCATGATACCCTGATCTTAAATCTGCTTTGGTGAAACAGGGCCGGCCATAGGGGGAGTTACCCTAGACAAGTGTCTAGGGCCTCCAAATTTTAGGGGCCTCTAATTTATAAAATAAGCTTATTAATATTATTTAGGAGACTTTGTCCGGCCGTCAACATTTGGGATAGTTTCCTTTGTAATTTTTTGATGATTTTTTTTAGAATCTTATTCATTATGTCTAGTTTACTCGTACCAAATTTCACCTAAAAATTCAATCGGGAAGACATTCAAATGAATTCTTGAAGATAACTGCGCAGTTAAAAGCGCAGTTATCTTCAAGAATTTATTTGAATGCCTTCCATGTTGAATTTTTAGCTGAAATTTGGTATAAGTAAACAAGACTTAATGAATAAGATTCTCAAAAAATTTTATCAAAAAATTCCACCAGGAACTGCCCCAAATGGCGACGGCGGGACAAAGTCTCTTATACAAGGGCTTATTTGACCTTTTTGGTTAGTATGTGGGCTTATTTGCTCCTTTTTCCTTTTTTTTCTTTGTTGGCTAGGGCAGTAGGGCTAGGGATTTAGGATAATGAGTATTCTAAATATATTTGAATGCTTATTGAATAATTGAAATTGTAATTTGTTATTTTGATTCATCGAAATATTGAACATACTTATAATTTTTTATATTTCATTAAATTTAGTGAATTAAATTTATATCTATGAACCATTAACTTATATTTAGTGATAGTATTATTTTGAATGAAATTTTATGTTTTGTGATGATTGGAAAACAAAATATGAATCAAGATGTACAAAGACAAAGAAAAAAATTAAGAAATGATTTGGTCATGAAATCACTTTCCGGCTCTATCGATCGGTATGTTGTATGTAAGTACAAAACCTTCTCCCTCTAGGGCTCTTTGTATTTTTTCATCAACTTTGATCTTCTGATTTCGAAGAATATTCTCACTGTGTTAATAGTATATGATGTATTTTATATGTAGTTTACTTATATTTAATTGCTATTTTTTATATCATTGGGTTAAATAAAACATATTTAAATCAAAATTTCTACATGACCGTCTAGGGCCTCATAATTGCTCTAGCCGGCCCTGTGGTGAAATATTTTGCACCGTGAAGTTCATCAAGCAATTCATCTACTACGGAATAGGATATTTATCCTTGACAGCGTTGTTGTTAAGTTCTCGATAATCAACACAAAACCACCAATAATTATCGTGCTTCTTAATGAGTAGAACTGGAGAAGAGAATGGTGATCTGCTTGGCTGGATTATTCCCTGATCAAGCATCAATTCACATTGCCTTTCAATCTTGTCTTTTTGGAAGTAAGGGTACCGGTAAGGTAATCCGGTGATCACACTCTCTCTGCGGTGGCAGCGCCTTTGGTTCAGCAAATAAATCTTCATATTCCCTCATTAAGATGTCCAACTGAGCTGTGTCTGGGTTGTTGTTGTGAAGCAGCGCCACTCTGCCACATGAGGAACAAATGTAGGGTGCTGTCCGCGCCAAATCACTGTCTTCCCCCCCCCCCCCCCCCCCCCCCTTTCGAATCGCATTGTTCTATCTGAGATGTCCCATAATATGGGCCCTAGAGTTGGCAACCAGGACACGCCTAATATGGCATCAAAACCCTCCAGTGGAATGGTGTAAAAATCTGCTCTATATTCCTCTCCATCAACCAGGAAGGAACTGATTTGCATACTCCTTGACTTGGAACCCTTTCACCGTTAGCCACTCGCACATGCAACCCCGACTTTCTGAAAATTAGTAACTTCAGAGAGGATACTACCGCTTCTCTTAAGAAATTGTGGGTGCTTCCGGAGTCAATCAACACTCTCAACTCTATTCCTTCCATTCGTGCTAGTAATTGCATGGTCGATGAGTGTTTTGTACCACTGATAACGTTGGCAGACAACTCCAAATCTGGTAGGCCATCTTCCTCCTCCTCATCTTTGATCTCGATCAAGAAAAGCTTCTTGCACCGGTGATTCATTGACCACAGTTCATCACAATTATAACAGAGCCCTCTTGCTCGTCGTTCTGCCATTTCACCCTTCGTGAGCGGTTTAATAATCGAGTTTCCTGCCTTAGTTGTCATGGGTGCTTGTCTATGTTGTTGCGGGCTTCGTTGTTTCGCATCTGTTGCAACACTCCAACCTTTGATAGGTGCAATTGTCAATGATTGCTTTGCTTCTAATGTCCGCGCAAGGTTCATGGCATACCCCAGGTTTCCTGGTTTTGCCCTCAAGCCCACAAGTGAGGTTGTAAACCAGCATATAAGGCAATCTGATGTGTGGGTTGTATTCCTGAAGTTCTTGCTAAGGCCTTCTGGAATTGGCCACAATATTCATCAACTGTCCCTGTCCCTGTTTGCATCAAAAGCTTTAGATCACCTACCGGGTTAGAACTCGGAGGGGGGCCAAAACGCTCGAGGCAAAGGTCTTTAAATTTATCCCAGTTGACCTCACCTTCCTCCTCGATCATTTGGTCGTACCAGAGTTGTGCATCATCTATCAAGTGTAATGCAACAACATTCACCCTGGCTGCACTAGGAGTTTCTTGATTCAAAAAGATTTTTTCACACCTTTTCAACCAGCTGATAGGGTCAGAGTTGCCATTGATACTTGGAATTCCATCTTCGCATAGTGTGGTCTCCAGGGGTTCGTGGTTCTCTGCGAATGCTGGTCTTCCACTCGGCTGTTATCAACTTCATCTTCATGTGTTTCTAGTTTCTACTATCTTTGAATCTCGTTTGTGGACGACCAGAGAGAGAGAGCCGCTATCTGCCCTTCTACTGCGGTTGTCCTAGCAGTCATAACCTCCATAAATTCCTTCATCATGGCGGTTAAATCCTCATTCTGTGGCGCCATGGATCGTGACAGCTCTGATAGGCCTGTCAACGGGCCGGGTACGGGCCGAATGTAGTGTTCTGGACCCGTACCCGTTAGCCTCGTTATTGTTCCCGACCCAACCCATATACGCAGCGGGTCTAGAACTAATGTTCCGGACCCGTACCCATCGGGTATCGGAACCGAGTCGCGTAGACCCGACCTGTCTCACAAAAATTCAACTCCAATTTCTTCAATAAAAAACATGACTTCTTACTATCAAGTACTTTCTAGGAACAACACGGTGGATTATAATTACATGTCTGTAATTACTACCAAGAATTAAAGCTCCTAATTTTCCTTGGCTTTCTTACAATACTACGTATCTTACAAATTACTCCATATTAAGCAACTCACAGAAAACTAGAGAAGGCAAAGAGGTTCATCAAATAATTACTTTTTACGTAAAGAGTAAAACTAATTGTTTGGAAAACTGAACAGGCTTCTTGAATTCTCTATAGACTATATACTCTTGTGTGTTCTTTAGGGATTTAATTATAATTAGCATGTCACCATCAAGATCCAATTTTTTTCTCAATTAATTTAGAAAGTATTAAAGAGACTTCCAATAAAAATTTTATAATGTAGTCACTTGAAATCTGTTATGGGTCATCCGGAAACAGTCTCTCTGTGCTTTAGTACAGGGGTAAGACTGCGTACATCTGACCCCCCCTTACTCCATTGTAGGTGGGAGCCTTTGCGGCACTGGGGTAAATGAAAATGAAAATGAGTCACTTGAAATCTGTAGTGTCAGATGAGTTTCTAAAAAATGGGTTCTCTATAATATTACTAAAATGGAACTCAATGACAAAATTTGGAGAACATGGTCACTATTGTCACTTGCAAAAATACCATCTTAGTTACTTCAATGTAAAACACCAGTCACCACACCCACTATGGAATACCATTATGGTCATTGTACATGAGAAGTCACATTTTTGCTCATTATTTTTATTTTAGTCATATGTTTGTCATTATTTTTTTCAAAAACCAGTCAACACTAAATTATGGGGAAAAAACAATGGCCAAGTTTTATGCATTCTTATGAAAGAACAATCAGATGAAAATTTGAAGTTGTCATCATAATGGAGCCATAATTGATGTAAAGTATTTTACTGGTTTTAACTCTCAGATTTCAGTTGGGCGAAAGCCGGTGACTGGGATGCGATTAACCCTGGAAGGGGTAAAGAAGAATCGACTGAGCATCCATCTTCAACATCTGTCATCTCTCCCCAAGCTCATTCAACCATATTGGGACTCCCACATCGCTATTGGCGCACCCATGTGGCAAGGACCCGAGGAACAAGATAGCCGATGGTTCGAGCCTGTGAAATGGAAAAACTTCTCGCATGTAAGCACCGCTCCAATTGACTGCCCTGAAACTTTCATAGGTGACCTTTCCGGTGTGTACATAGTGACGGGGGCACAGCTTGGAGTGTGGGATTTCGGGTCAAGAAACGTTTTGTATATGAAGCTCTTATATTCGAGGGTGCCAGGGTGCACGGTTAGAAGATCATTGTGGGACCACACCGTAGACGATAAGTCAAAAAAAAGAACTGCTAGTGGTGGTGATTCGAGCTTAGTGCTTCCTGGGGAGAACATGGCTGACAGTAAGTTAGCGAAATTTGTTGACATGACTGAGATGTGCAAGGGCCCACAAGATCTTCCAGGTCATTGGTTGGTAACGGGTGGGAAACTGAGCATGGAGAAGGGAAAAATTGGTTTGAGACTAAAACATTCTTTGCTGAATTATTAGCAAAAAAACAGAGGCTTCTCATATGCAGAGGTGTTTCCCACTTTCTCTCCATGTGTAAGGTAGTAGTTGGGCAGTGATTTTGGTGTATATTTGGCCCTCCTGTTTTCCTTCATAAATGGTAATGGTATGTGTTTCTGATGAAAGGTATATTCCTGGTAGCCTGGTAGGAATGGTAGCTGGTTTTGGACCAATGGATGTATAAATTTAATCCTAGCATTTTGGAAGACGGTGTTGCCACAATCTTATCCAAGCGCTTATGAGTTGTGTCTGCAGTATATATGATTTTGCAGCCAAACTAGAAGTCTGGATACGTCTCGAAATATTGTCATACATACAAAGGTTCTAACAGCATTCGTGACAATCTTTTTATTTTTTTTTATAATGAGTCTACATTGCCACGTCATCAATGAATGAATTAATAATTTATTTCGTAAAAAGTTGTCATGTTCATGTTCTGATGTTCATAAATTTGTTGTCATGTTCACAAAATGTTTGACTCGCTCAAGAATTTTATTTCATTTCCTTTGCCTTTTTGTTTGCGAAGTTTGTGCTTCCAAAATGAAACTTTACAATGATACAATCATCATTGTGGAGGCACTAGTTAGGCAAATGACTACGCTAAAAAAAGGAATTAATTCTACTACCAGTGTTATATTAATTTCACTTAAATTCATGTCTGTCATTTTGTTAATTTTTTATATTTGACTAATGTTTCTTGGTCATGTTTCTGTCCAATTTTTCTACACCTTTTAACAATTTTAATCATCGAAAATATCAACAGAAGGACTATATATTGGTGAAAAATAATAGTCATGTATCAAATGTGATCAAAGTCAAAGACGTGAATGTTGAATTGATGGATACTTGCACGACATATAACTATTTATTCTAAATATTAATATTGAGCTGATCATATAACTTGGTCACAAGCCAACTCGAATCCGGGCGGGTCTGGTAGATCAATGATGAAAAAATACAACGAATCCGGGCGGGTCTGGTAGATCAATGATGAAAAAATACAACTACAATTATACTTCTTTTGTTTCTTTTTAGTTGCAACTTTTCCTTTTTCACGCTTGCCAATGCACAACTTTGATCTTCATTATATTTAATTTTCTATAAATAAAAAACTTTTAAAAATCAGATTATGAAACTTTGTACTTAGACGAATTCAACAATATTAAAAAAAAAATTACATACATTAATAAATAATATGTAGTCAAAGTAGAGTACATGAATAGTGTGTAAATTTCAATGTTGCAATTATTATGATACGGAGGATAGTACATTAAATGAGTGTTAAAATAACTATTTTCATAATGACCTAACAATACTAATACAGAGTATTTTTTTAGTAAAGAAAATATAAAAAGCATTTTAAAATAAGTTTCTAATTATTCTTGAATCATTTATATTACTCCATCCGTCCTAGGGGTGGACCGGTTCCGATTCGGGCCCGGCCGGGCCTCGGTTCATGACGGGGAGGCCCGGAACCGGCTCGGGTAACCCTCGAGTCCGGGCCGGGCCTCGGTTCTATTTTTTTTTTTTGGCTTTTCCTAGTTAACCCCCAACCCTCCCCCTCCCCCTCAAACCAACCCTAACCACCTCAAATGGTCCAAAATATCCAACCCAACCCAAAAACTTAAAAAAATTCAAAAAAAAATGATAAATAGGCCCGGCCCGGGCCCGAACTGGTCGGGCCGGTTCACCTTTTGAAGGGCCCGAGCCCGAACCCCATCCCACCGGGCCGGGTGGCCCGAACCGGGTAACCAACCGGTTCACCGGGCCGGTCCGGGCCCGCACAGTAGCGGGCCGGTCCGGGCCCGCACAGTAGCGGGCCGGTCCAATTCCAGCCCGAGTCCACTCCTAATCCGTCCTCAAAAGATTGTCCTACTTTAACTTTAATCTAATTAAGAGAAGGAAAGTTAAGTTTGACTTTCCGAAAGTACCCTCACAAAGGTGAGGGTATCCTATACCTAAAAGCACTACGTGCTAAGGAAAAAATTTTCCCGCCTATGCCTAATTTCACTTATCCGCACAAAGTCTCCGCAATTAGTTTGGCCCATTTCGGAATTTGACTTATCCGCACAAGTCTCCGCACCAAACGCCACTCCACACCAAACGCCACTATTCTCGGACATTCACCCTAACTACGCTTCTTCATCTCCGCACCAAACGTCCGCTATCCGCTTCTCAGACATTCACCCTAATTCGTCCGCTATCCGCTTCTCAGACACCACCGCAGTTCCTACAATTTCACCAAAACTACAATTCTTCATCTCCACATTTCTCAGAATTTTACACAAAGTAGAATTCTTCAATACCTCAAACTCAGAATAATATCTTCACTACTATATATACAGATGAGGATCGATGCGGCTCATACTCTCGCTCCACACAAGGTATTTTGTAATTCTTCTTTTTCTATATTTATGGTTCACTTATTTCTGATACCTCGTGTCTGCCGTCGTGCTACCTGTGTTTACAGAAATCCAACCGACGAAAGGATAGTCGGAGACAGGCGAGGAGACTGGACTATTGCAACTGCCCGTGTGTGAATTCAAGGTATATATTCCAATTTTGTTTTTTGACGATTTTTGAGCTTGGATTGTTTATTTTTAAAGTTTGAATAAGAACATTTGAAAAATTCCTTTTAAGCTTTTCATTAGATGAATATATGATGAAACAGATTGTTTTGAGCTTGGGTTTTTAATTTTTAATATTTTGAGTCTGCTTTAGCATCTATTAGATTGACTATTGCAACTGCCCGTGTGTGAATTCTATGATGAATATAATACACAAATTAAAGGAACTCATGTGATGTAATGAAAACAGATTGTTTTGAACTTGGGTTTTTAATTTTTAATGTTTTGTGTCTGCTTTAGCATCTATTAGATTGAGCTGAAGTTTATCATTTTTAACTATGCTTTTCACTTCCCAGAATAAGAACTTTTGAGCTTGGGTTGTTTATTTTTAAAGTTTGAATAAGAACATTTGAAAAATTCCTTTTAAGCTTTTCATTAGATAGAACTACTACTTCAAAAAATGCAGTTCACTCACCATCCCATGCTAGAGAGTAGTATTTGACATTGTTTTGGATTTCTATGATGAATATAATACACAAATTAAAGGAACTCATGTGATGTAATGAAAACAGATTGTTTTGAGCTTGGTTTTTTAATTTTTAATGTTTTGAGTCTGCTTTAGCATCTATTAGATTCAGCTGAAGTTTATCATTTTTAAATATGCATTTCACTTCCCAGAATAAGAACTTTTGAGCTTGGGCTGTTTATTTTTAAAGTTTGAATAAGAACATTTGAAGAATTCCTTTTAAGCTTTTCATTAGATAGAACTACTACTTCAAAAAATGCAGTTCACTCACCATCCCATGCTAGAGAGTAGTATTTGACATTGTTTTGGATTTCTATGATGAATATAATACACAAATTAAAGGAACTCATGTGATGTAATGAAAACAGATTGTTTTGAACTTGGGTTTTTAATTTTTAATGTTTTTAATCTGCTTTGGTATCTATTAGATTGAGTTGAAGTTTATCATTTTTAACTATGCAGTTCACTTCCCAGAATAAGAACTTTTGAGCTTGGGCTGTTTATTTTTAAAGTTTGAATAAGAACATTTGAAGAATTCCTTTTAAGCTTTTCATTAGATAGAACTACTACTTCAAAAAATGCAGTTCACTCACCATCCCATGCTAGAGAGTAGTATTTGACATTGTTTTGGATTTCTATGATGAATATAATACACAAATTAAAGGAACTCATGTGATGTAATGAAAACAGATTGTTTTGAGCTTGGGTTTTTAATTTTTAATGTTTTGAGTCTGCTTTGGTATCTATTAGATTGAGTTGAAGTTTATCATTTTTAACTATGCAGTTCACTTCCCAGAATAAGAACTTTTGAGCTTGGGCTGTTTATTTTTAAAGTTTGAATAAGAACATTTGAAGAATTCCTTTTAAGCTTTTCATTAGATAGAACTACTACTTCAAAAAATGCAGTTCACTCACCATCCCATGCTAGAGAGTAGTATTTGATATTGTTTTGGATTTCTATGATGAATATAATACACAAATTAAAGGAACTCATGTGATGTAATGAAAATAGATTGTTTTGAGCTTGGTTTTTTAATTTTTAATGTTTTGAGTCTGCTTTAGCATATATTAGATTCAGCTGAAGTTTATCATTTTTAAATATGCATTTCACTTCCCAGAATAAGAACTTTTGAGCTTGGGCTGTTTATTTTTAATGTTTGAATAAGAACATTTGAAAAATTCCTTTTAAGCTTTTCATTAGATAGAACTACTACTTCAAAAAATGCAGTTCACTCACCATCCCATGCTAGAGAGTAGTATTTGACATTGTTTTGGATTTCTATGATGAATATAATACACAAATTAAAGGAACTCATGTGATGTAATGAAAACAGATTGTTTTGAACTTGGGTTTTTAATTTTTAATGCTTTTAATCTGCTTTAGCATCTATTAGATTGAGCTGAAGTTTATCATTTTTAAATATGCATTTCACTTCCCAGAATAAGAACTTTTGAGCTTGGGCTGTTTATTTTTAAATTTTGAACAAGAACATTTGAAGAATTCCTTTTAAGCTTTTCATTAGATAGAACTACTACTTCAAAAAATGCAGTTCACTCACCATACCGTGCTAGAGAGTAGTATTTGACATTGTTTTGGATTTCTATGATGAATATAATACACAAATTAAAGGAACTCATGTGATGTAATGAAAACAGATTGTTTTGAGCTTGGGTTTTTAATTTTTAATGTTTTTAATCTGCTTTAGTATCTATTAGATTGAGTTGAAGTTTATCATTTTTAACTATGTAGTTCACTTCCCAGAATAAGAACTTTTGAGCTTGGGCTGTTTATTTTTAAAGTTTGAATAAGAACATTTGAACAATTCCTTTTAAGCTTTTCATTAGATGAATATATGATGAAACAGATTGTTTTGAGCTTGGGTTTTTAATTTTTAATGTTTTGAGTCTGCTTTAGCATCTATTAGATTGACTATTGCAACTGCCCGTGTGTGAATTCTATGATGAATATAATACACAAATTAAAGGAACTCATGTGATGTAATGAAAACAGATTGTTTTGAAATTGGGTTTTTAATTTTTAATGTTTTGAGTCTGCTTTAGCATCTATTAGATTGAGCTGAAGTTTATAATTTTTAACTATGCTTTTCACTTCCCAGAATAAGAACTTTTGAGCTTGGGTTGTTTATTTTTAAAGTTTGAATAAGAACATTTGAAAAATTCATTTTAAGCTTTTCATTAGATAGAACTACTACTTCAAAAAATGCAGTTCACTCACCATCCCATGCTAGAGAGTAGTATTTGACATTGTTTTGGATTTCTATGATGAATATAATACACAAATTAAAGGAACTCATGTGATGTAATGAAAACATATTGTTTTGAGCTTGGTTTTTTAATTTTTAATGTTTTGAGTCTGCTTTAGCATCTATTAGATTCAGCTGAAGTTTATCATTTTTAAATATGCATTTCACTTCCCAGAATAAGAACTTTTGAGCTTGGGCTGTTTATTTTTAATGTTTGAATAAGAACATTTGAAAAATTCCTTTTAAGCTTTTCATTAGATAGAACTACTACTTCAAAAAATGCAGTTCACTCACCATCCCATGCTAGAGAGTAGTATTTGACATTGTTTTGGATTTCTATGATGAATATAATACACAAATTAAAGGAACTCATGTGATGTAATGAAAACAGATTGTTTTGAACTTGGGTTTTTAATTTTTAATGTTTTTAATCTGCTTTGATATCTATTAGATTGAGTTGAAGTTTATCATTTTTAACTATGCATTTCACTTCCCAGAATAAGAACTTTTGAGCTTAGGCTGTTTATTTTTAAAGTTTGAATAAGAACATTTGAAGAATTCCTTTTAAGCTTTTCATTAGATAGAACTACTACTTCAAAAAATGCAGTTCACTCACCATCCCATGCTAGAGAGTAGTATTTGACATTGTTTTGGATTTCTATGATGAATATAATACACAAATTAAAGGAACTCATGTGATGTAATGAAAACAGATTGTTTTGAGCTTGGGTTTTTAATTTTTAATGTTTTGAGTCTGCTTTGGTATCTATTAGATTGAGTTGAAGTTTATCATTTTTAACTATGCAGTTCACTTCCCAGAATAAGAACTTTTGAGCTTGGGCTGTTTATTTTTAAAGTTTGAATAAGAACATTTGAAGAATTCCTTTTAAGCTTTTCATTAGATAGAACTACTACTTCAAAAAATGCAGTTCACTCACCATCCCATGCTAGAGAGTAGTATTTGACATTGTTTTGGATTTCTATGATGAATATAATACACAAATTAAAGGAACTCATGTGATGTAATGAAAACAGATTGTTTTGAGCTTGGTTTTTTAATTTTTAATGTTTTGAGTCTGCTTTAGCATATATTAGATTCAGCTGAAGTTTATCATTTTTAAATATGCATTTCACTTCCCAGAATAAGAACTTTTGAGCTTGGGCTGTTTATTTTTAATGTTTGAATAAGAACATTTGAAAAATTCCTTTTAAGCTTTTCATTAGATAGAACTACTACTTCAAAAAATGCAGTTCACTCACCATCCCATGCTAGAGAGTAGTATTTGACATTGTTTTGGATTTCTATGATGAATATAATACACAAATTAAAGGAACTCATGTGATGTAATGAAAACAGATTGTTTTGAACTTGGGTTTTTAATTTTTAATGCTTTTAATCTGCTTTAGCATCTATTAGATTGAGCTGAAGTTTATCATTTTTAAATATGCATTTCACTTCCCAGAATAAGAACTTTTGAGCTTGGGCTGTTTATTTTTAAATTTTGAACAAGAACATTTGAAGAATTCCTTTTAAGCTTTTCATTAGATAGAACTACTACTTCAAAAAATGCAGTTCACTCACCATACCGTGCTAGAGAGTAGTATTTGACATTGTTTTGGATTTCTATGATGAATATAATACACAAATTAAAGGAACTCATGTGATGTAATGAAAACAGATTGTTTTGAGCTTGGGTTTTTAATTTTTAATGTTTTTAATCTGCTTTAGTATCTATTAGATTGAGTTGAAGTTTATCATTTTTAACTATGTAGTTCACTTCCCAGAATAAGAACTTTTGAGCTTGGGCTGTTTATTTTTAAAGTTTGAATAAGAACATTTGAACAATTCCTTTTAAGCTTTTTATTAGATGAATATATGATGAAACAGATTGTTTTGAGCTTGGGTTTTTAATTTTTAATGTTTTGAGTCTGCTTTAGCATCTGTTAGATTGACTATTGCAACTGCCCGTGTGTGAATTCTATGATGAATATAATACACAAATTAAAGGAACTCATGTGATGTAATGAAAACAGATTGTTTTGAAATTGGGTTTTTAATTTTTAATGTTTTGAGTCTGCTTTAGCATCTATTAGATTGAGCTGAAGTTTATCATTTTTAACTATGCTTTTCACTTCCCAGAATAAGAACTTTTGAGCTTGGGTTGTTTATTTTTAAAGTTTGAATAAGAA